GACGTGGAACTCGTGGACGGGGCTACAGAGCTACTAGAAAGACAGTCGAACCCGGTGCATTCCTCCGTCTGAATGTGGAGCACTTTTGCTAAATGTTTAGACAAATTGCTCGTGTTACCGCCCTTACATGCTAAACTCTTATTGCACTTTTAGTAACGAGCATTCTCCACATCGAGACGGGTAAAGTTTAACCACACCTCGAAGCGCGTTCTGTGTTGCATGCTGCTGCCTGTGTGTAAACTGCCCCGCCCCCTCGCACACAGACGGAGGAGATAGATCTCGTCTGATCGAAAATACATCATAGACGCATTTGTTTGTCTTTTTGCATATTAGAAACGAGTTGGTGACACTAAGACTGCGATATAATGTTTTTGTAGCAATAATACACGACATATATTTTTTAAATGTCTCCAGTACCGATAAAAAGACCAATAACGTTGGAGTTTAACGGCGCGTAAAACACACGTGATGACGTCACCAACAAATCTACCACTGAATTAGTTGGCAACTAATTTGGTAAGATTAGTTGTTGCACCCCTAGTTCAGAACGCAGCTGCGCGTCTTCTGACCGGCCACAAAAAGCGTGACCACATCACCCCAATTCTGGCCTCATTGTATTGGCTTCCAATTCGGTTCCAAATTGATTTTAAACTCCTTGTATTTGTTTTTAAAGCACTAAATGGGCTGGCTCCGGACTATATAGCAGAACTCTTCCATCGCTACACTCCAGCCAGAGCTTTAAGGTCGGCTGACCAGCTGCTGCTGGTAGTGCCCAAGACCAGGCTTAAAACACGAGGGCACCGAGCCTTCGCAGCAGCTGGCCCTATAGGCTCTGGAACACTCTGCCCTGTGAGGTCGGCCCAGACCCTAGGGAGTTTTAAATCTACACTAAAGACTCACTTCTTCTCTCTGGCCTTCTAGTCAGAGCGGAGCATGACACCTGACATTTCCCTGTGTTTGATTTTTATATTTGCTGTTGTAATTTATTGTCTTCTGTTTGCTACTGTATTGTAGTAAAGTGTTTTTATTGCATGTACAGCACTTTGGCTCGACCAAAAATCGTTTTAAAAAAGTTCTATATAAATAAAACATGATTTGATTTGATTTGAACATGATGTGTTACTTTGCTGAAGGATATTTGTGACCAGTTATCCAGACCAGTCTCTAAAGACTTTCCAAGGGGTAAAAATGCTGCTGCCGGAGTACTAACTGGAAGTATTGCTGATAATATGTCTACCGTATCCTCTCATGTCCAACAATATCATATCAATAATAACGCTTATTAAAAGAAAACATGCATTCTTGTACTCGGGAGGGGACATTGACAGAGGATTACTGGAAAATTACTTCATAGTACTTGTGGGGGTAGTTTCACTAGTACTGAGTCCAACAGGATCAATCTCACGAAGAACTAAAAATAATTCCCTCGTCAAACTTAGCAGAAGTGGCTTGATTTTGTTCTCAGCAGGGGACTTTGACAGAGGATTACTAAAAGAATACAGAGTAAAAGTACTTCAATGTATTGTAAGTAGTAGGCTAACTCAGGGGTTCCCAAACGTTGCCATGCCAAGGACCCCCATATAGCATTATCCTCTGGCGGGGACCCCCCCTGTTGCAATTTTTTTTTTTTTAAATGATGTGTAAAAGTGCCTCGCGATAGAGCACGCAGTGTGTTGCCACTACATTTGGGGCCTTCTGCCTGATCAAAGCTGTCACTCTTTGTTTGCCTGTCACAGCCCCACTGCCCCATCTGAACACACACCCACACAACGTCCAACCAGTCAAGTCCATTTGAGATGATGTACTCATCTAAAACTTGGAAAATGTCTCTTCAATGTGGTCCTACCTTCCAGTGCTTTGCAAAATAATATTTCCTCAACAAAGTTGTCTTCTGAACAGAGTATAACCGTAGTAGTTAACCGAATATTTTCCATCTATGACGGAATTTTTCCAAGAATGACTGAAGAATCTGAAAGCAGTCCGTCATTTTGACAGATTAGAACACAACTCGGAACAGCGCCAAAATGTCCACCAGCGGCCCACATTATATGACATCCTTAGTGGCCAGGTAGACTGAGGGTGATCTATACTACTGTAACTATTATTTAGTAATTCATACCCCTGTCCAGTTGGTGGCGAGTATGTGCATATTAAGTAGCTATTGTCTAGTCTTGTATTTGACCTCGTTGATTACCTCGTTGTTTAACCGGCTTTAGCAATCGCAAAACGTCACGGCAGCTGAGTGTCCGAAGCTTTTTTAATAAACCCAGTAGTTGTGATGGTGTGGATAAACGAGGTGAAAAAAGAGGGATTGATGCAGTGGAGGATGAAGGACAAGCCAGTAAGACTAAAACTGACAACGTTCAGCCAGCAGCAGAGGGACAAGCAAGTGGCAAAGAAAAATAAATCATTCATATTAGTTTTGACATGAAAAGTGACCGCATGGTCGGTGTCTCTGTTCATCTTTTTTTTTCTCCATGCCCTTAAAAGTTCTATATGAATCATAAAAAAAAAGGAATGAATGAACATTTGCTGCTTAGTATCCAAACATAAATATTAAATATGTCTCATCATTAAAACATGAGAAATAAAATCAAGGGTAATAATGGATTATGACGGAAATGTTACGATCCTGTCCGTCAAAATGACGGACAACGAAAAAGTCTAACGCAACCACTGCTTCTGAAATAAATCTGATGTATGCAAGCAATTCTGCGACATTTGATACATCCGTGCTCTCATCCGGCTGCAGAGCAAAATATTCACTAGCTCTCACTTGCTCCAAAAGCTGAGCAGATACTCAGTTTCACTCTCAGTAGCGGCAGCTCGATTCTGATTAGATTGATGGCGGTCGTGTGATTCAAAAACAAAAAATATTAAAAGATTGGCATCAAAGGACACATAGATTGGTAGATATACAGTTATTAATAACATCTAAAAAAAAACTTTAAAAAAAATAATAATCATGTTTCCCTGGCGGCCCCCGGGGGGTTGGGGCCACTTTGAAAAACACTGGGCTAACTCATACAAAGTCAAACAGTATCAATTTCATTAAGAACTAATGGTAACATTTTATTTGTATCATTCATCAAGCGTCTTTGAGTTTCATGAAAAGCGCTATAAAAGTCCCATGTATTATTATTATTATTAAAGATAGCAGAAAACATGCATTATGGACTCTGACAGAGGATTACTCACAAAGTACACAATAAAAGTACTTCATTTTGTTTTCTGGTAGAAGTCAAACTACCGAGTCCAACAGTGTCAGTTCCCTTAACAACTTGTGGTAAAACACATTTGTATCACTCGTCAAATATAGCAGGAAAAATGAAGAGCAGCTGATTTGAAAAAACAAACTCGAGAGACGGCTGAGTGACCGCAGTGCAGAATCTCTATATAGTTTATATCTCCTAACAATGTTGTCCATTTTAGACACAGGCTTATTATATTTACAGCCCTTAATAACATCCATTTTCTGGGCTCAATGTGTGTCTTGGCTGTTTTCGTTGTGATCGCTAAATTCACCTTGTTTATACTATTGTCACTGTTCCAAGCAAACGAGTACTTTTGTTTTGAAATCACTTCCGTGAGTTTCGCCCCGCCCCTCGCTCCACTGACCATCAGACCATTTAGTATGGTAAAAAGTAAAAAGCAAAAACCCCTCTCAGACGCTCTTCTGTTTACTGTTCCTGAGTCATTAATTTGTATCTTTGGGTTTTTGGAAACATATCTGGACAATGTTATGAACACCACAATTCTATGAATGACCTGCCACTGCAAAATGACCTGCAAGTCAACAAAGTCAACAAGTTTCACAAAACAATGATCTGCCTAGGAACCTCTGACGCAGCCAATCGTCTTCTACAGGAAAACTTCCCCTGTGGAGGAGGAACTGCTCACACCAAACGCTCACTGAGGTCAAGGTCTTCTACCATAGAGGCTTTGGAGAATACATCCTGCAGGCTGGTACAGTATATCCAGTAGAATGGGTCTTTTACCAACTTCCTTAGGAGGAACTAGCACAAGGAAGAGGCTGCAGTAGTGTTTAACCCACAAGGGCACAGCCAGGACAGCTAAACATGTCATTGGTCTGCTGCCCAATGCAATGTTTCCCTTAGACAAATGATTTATTGTAGTTACTGGATAAACTGTATCCTCAGTCGAAATGATTGGTCAAATACCACAAGAGCATGGCCATTGCCAGCTTACTACATATTAGTTTAACAATTAACACAGTGGCATTCAATCACAACAAGATATATATCCTCAGGAGCAGAAGCCAAATTACGTGAATCAATCGCAGCGTCACATGCACACAGCGAAGAAGTACTCAGATACTTTAAAGTTGCAATACTTCATTGTAAAGATAATTTGTTACAAGTAAAAGTCCTGCATTCAAAATCTTCTTAAGTCGTACTACAAAAGTATAGATTAAAATATACTTAAAGTACCAACAATTAAAGGAGTCCTTATGGTATGGGCCCATTCCAAAATCGTATATTGAATGACTGGATTATGATTATTGATGTTTTATGTGTTTATCACAGCTGGTAACGGTAGAGCTAATATTAATTATGTTATACTGCTGCTGGCTTAACCTATATATGTATCATAGTTCTTTCAATAATTAGTTGTATTAGCTAATAATCTAAATCTAAAAAGTAACTAGTAACTACAAGCTATTAAATGTAGTGGAGTGGAAGTATAAAGTAGCTGACTATACACAGGTGAAGTTCAAGTACCTTAAAAATGTACTACAGTACTGCACTTAAGTAAATGTACTTTGTTACGTGTGTGCAAAATATCACTGCCTGCCACAAAACGTCACGTCACTATAAAATATAATAAGAGTTTATCATCCCAAGACCTCTCTGAAGAGATCGACGCAACACTATGTGAATATGTATCTTAATTTATGTCCACCATGCATATACGTTTAGTTATTTTCTAGCTCTGTCACCGTTCATTTTAGCAGGATACTGTCTCTGCAGCCAACTTACTGTGGCGGGGTGTTCTGACTGGACGCAGCGGCTCTGCAGGAGCTGAAGTCGGGGAGACAGCAGCCGGAGGCTCGGTCTGAAGCCCAGCAACATGTTACCGGACACAGATCTATACTGACCCTCACTGACTCTTCATATCACACCGATACCTCTCAACATGTTCCCCATGGCTGTAGAAAGTAGGGCATGATAAAATGCACAACTTCCGGTAAAGTATTTTCAGAATAAAACAACACTAGAGAAAAAGGAAAACTATCGAGTGGCGAAGTCACGCCCATCTACTTCCGGTCCATGGGACCTTATTTCGGAAAAATAATGTATTGAAGTCCATGGAGAGAGAAAACGTATCTTTCGATCCCGTTTGAATTGTGCCATGAATTACACACATGATGTTTGTCAATCTTAAAAAATAATTTCCATGTCAAAAAAGTCACAGTTTGTCGTAAAACTGTTGAAAAATAAGACTATGAAAAATACGCAACTAGAAAGACTACAAATCCCAGAGTCGCGTAAGTGATGTCACAATTGTTTTCCTCCACTAAGAGATAGCTAAGATCAGCGCCATATAGATATAATCTATCTATATGGCGCTGGCTAAAATAAGATAACTTTAACAAGATGCCTGTGTGCTTAGTACCAGATTGTTATCATACCAGCAATGGGTCTTGCTCGTTCTTTCGCTTCCCGTCTGATGAAAGGACCAGGAGTGGCTGGATCAAGTTAGCTACCTAGCTAGTAGCTAGCACGTTAGTTAGCATTCTTTCACACACACATACAGGTTTTGGGCCAAGGGCGACACCGTACTTCCGGTATCCGCCATTTCACACGAGGTGCAAGCAGAATATCATAGTCTATTGCCTTAATCAATATAGTCAACTCTAAAATACCACATATATGCATTGGCATGATAATATTATTGTGACAAGTGGGGTATTCACCTGGTGTTTCCAGAAGATAGACGTAGATGCTGCCAAAATCGACCGAAGGCCACTTTCGAGGGTCGTAATTCCATACATTGTAAGGGCAATCCGACAACCCACACAGCTCTAGTTTACGCTGGTAACGACCTAGAGCACACCCCTCAAGTCCAGAGATGTAATCCGAAGACATGCAGCGATTTCTTCGGTCGTTAATTCAGAAAAAAAACCTAGTGCGCTCTGCCTGGCTACGCTAGCTAGCTGTTTATATTAGCACCTCCAGGATTTTTGCACCTCCAGAAAAATGGCATATTTATATATATATATATGGCGCGCGTTGCATTGTGGGTAGCTCGTGACGTCACTGTGTGTGAAAGAATTACAGCCTTGTCATTTTTATTAGCCTTAATATGTAACCTTAATTAAGTAACCCAAAATGTTAAACAGTAAGAGTAGTAGTCATATTTCGTGAACCCTTTGAAGAGTACTGTCACCGGTGTGATCATTCTATAATACACCATTTAAGCCCGGGGGAGAAATGCTAACGCTAGCATCGGCGATCGCCGATCTTTTCTACTTCATGCTATCTGCACAAATGGTTGACATTAAACATTAAAAAGACCAGGCAGTTCAGAGAGAATCAAAGGAAGGCAGGCAGGCAGCTTTGCATGACATTCTTCTGGATGTGTTTCATTGTGGTGATAGTGAGGGTAGTCAATCGTTTTGTTGACAAGACAGTAGTGACGGCCATCTTGGTGACGTGGGTTGTTCTGCGAGACCAGAGATGTTGTTCATTCAGCGTTTCACACAAAAAAATGTGTTACTTCACAGTTTTAAGACACATTTTTTTTTTTTTACTTGCAAAATTTTCTTTTCAATTGACAAACATCATATGTGTAATTCGTTGCACAATTCAAACGGGATCGAAAGATAATCTTTCTCTCTCCATTGACTTCAATACATAATGTTTTCGAAATAAGGTCCCATGGAGGTCCACCAGCAATAACCATAAAATAATCATTCAAATACCACAAACATGATATTGACCAGTATACAGATGCACATGATTTAGCAGATTTAGCGTTTTTAGAGAGAAAAAATTCTCTCAACAATACAAGTCACTGACATGGCGTTTTTGCGCCATGTCAGTGACTTGTATTGTTGTGCGTCACGTTAAAAGTAGCCGACTAAAAACTAACAAAAAACTTTTTTTCCACATCTTTTTTATTTTTCTTCCCTGAATTTTTTTTCTTTTTTATATAGTTTTAAATGATCATTTGAATAATAATATAAAATATAATCTCAGGCACAATGAAATAAATATATATAAAATAAAAATAAAATACATTTGTAGACAGGGGAGCTCCGCTCCGCCTGCCTGCCGCTAGGGGGTGCTGCAGCGCCCTCAGCATCCCCCTTCCCGCGCCCCTGCCCCACCATGAAAAATGATGTTAAAGTAAGCAAAAAAAAGTCCTCCAACTCGCGCCGAGTAAATTGCACAGACAGCAGTTAGTAAGATTGATTTCAGTAGCCACTTGTCCGGATATGCCGAAGACTAGAAACGGTTTTGAAAACTTTTGTCACGTAGTGATCGTCTTCTCAATAAAACGTCTTCGCTAATGTCTTCTGGCCAATCAGAATCACGATAACGGCGTGGTGTTGTTGCAGGAAGTCCCAACGGAGAATAAGGCCCAATCCCAAACCGCCCCCTACACCCTATCACTACACACTACCCCTCCGTTTGCACGTTCGCACGGAGGGTCCGCCATATTAAGTGCTGTTCCAAACCAACGAGTGTGGATCGGTGTGGAGGGGGAGTGGGCTATCAAGCCCTCAAACAGCGAGTCTGCATCGGTGCTCACTTGAGACCGGTCTCTACCTGACCGGTCTCCACGCTGTGTGTGTCCGTCAGGAAACACGCTGTTTACAAGTAGGCCAGTTCCAGCAAACATCCACTGATACATTGCGATGTTAACAACCTCATGTTTTTAACTTAGGATCATACCTGTGTTTAGTCTAGAAAAAGGTAAATGTGTGCATTTTATTATAAAGTTGTGTATATTGTAACGTTCAACAAAGGGAGTCGGAAACAGGCTTCAAGTTATTGGGGTTTAATGACTCCTTTGTTCAAACATGGACACTTGTTACATGTTACAGGTTGCAGGTTCATCATCACACTCAACTCTACTCCCTAACTCCCACACATAAAAGCAGGGTCAACGTCACAACTTCCCCACCCTCCCCCCTCTGCTCCCCCAACCACAGGCCCGCACCCCTACCAGCCTCACTGTGCAGCTCTGTGATTGGCAGAGAGATGGGGATGCTTGAGTGACACACTCAACACCCTATACAGGGTCGCTACACTACCCCCCTACTACAAAGTTCCTCGCCCACGAGGAACAAATAAAACTTTGAACAAAAAAACTCTAACTAAACACTGTTAGTTGAACTAGGAAGGTCTGGGAGACTACCATCCCTTCCAGTGAGACCAGGGCACATTCTTGCCCTCTATAGGAACCGAGGGGTCTCACTACTAACCTAAACTACCACACAAAGTCTCTGAACCGACTCGGGGGTCGTGTCTGCCTTCTCTGCAGGGGGGCTGGGGTCAGGGGGACAGGGGGTGCCGGTTCTGTTCCAGGCAGGGAAAAGGGAAAGAAAGCGGGGGGGAACTCAGTCACTGACGGGGGGCCGCTGCTCCGCTCGCCGGGGGACCTGGGTGGGGGTGTCTAGGGGGAGGCTGTGGACCCCGGTGTCCCTTGGGCATGTGGAGAAGCGACTCCTCTGTACGGGGCCAACCTGTCTCTGTGGAGCACAACTTTTCTCCCCTTGGGAGGCAGCTGCACCCTGTAGACAACGGGAAACTGTTGCAGCCTCCTCTGTGAGGAGCAGCAGGTTCAGCTTTCAGAACAAAGTAACAAAAAACAAAAATGGCATTACATTTTTTAAACATGTCGTGTGGAATTTATTTATTTATTTTCTTCTCAAGAGAGTAGCAGAATGTGTATTTTATGTTAGTATTTCAAAAAATCTCCTGGGGGAGAATCCCCCCAGACCACCTGCAGGGGTTGGGTTTTCAGCATGTCAACTTTTTCACCTGTGGGGAAATTGCAGGATTGGCTCCAGGTCGCCCTTTTGATTTACTACAACACAAATGTGCCTTTTTATTTCATACAGTTCAATTTGGATTGAGACAGGGAAATAATCTAAACCTCACGTGTGGCGTTTCACTGTCAAGGGGGGCAAAATAGCGCGTGTGTAATTAAATTGCAAATACTGATTTGAGCCCCACCACTGTATGGGTTAGCCCTAGATTACCCAACAAAAATACTCTGGAGCCGCCACTGCTGAAGCATGATAACAAACAATTGCACAGAACATGCTTTGTTATATATTTGTATATATTTATATGTATACCGCATCTATATATTTGGTTTATGAATTTGCAAAGTAACTTAAAAATTAAGCTGTCACAATAAATGTAGCACTAAAAAGTACAATATTTAGCCTAGCTCCAAAATTAGACCCACTGCTGGGATGGGTTGGTAAAAAAGCAAAAAAGTAGATATAGTTGTATACATTTGATTAGAAATATAAATACTTAGGTACCTCAAAATGTATTTTGAGTCTTGAAAATGTGCTTTCCAGATCATTGAGAGATGTCTTGTGTCTAATGAACATGTTTTGCATACTTATTTATGAATTCTGGATTTTAAAAACAGCGATGGATGAGATATAATGGTAATCATTTTAGTCTCTTTTCTCAAGTCTTTTTTCATCACACACAAATATTTGTTTTTTTAAACATATAACCCATATTTTAAAACATGTCTGGAGGGGTGTATGTATCAATGGAGAGATTAGCAAATACTTTATTATGAAGCAAAAGTCACATCAAGAACAAAACAGACCAAGGTCAGCTGAAATTTAGATAATGCACAAATAAATACTTTATTTATTGTATATAAAAAATGCTTGCCATTACATTGCATTAATCCAGAATACAGTTAACACAGATTTGGAGGCTTTTGTTCCATTAACTTGTTATACCATGAAAACAGGCAGCCTTAGTATAAATAAATACTGATAGATGTTGTTTTATTTATTTTCTATTTTTTTTTTTTTTTTAATATTGTGTGTGCTATTCTCTTTCTAATAGTGTTTTATTTGTTTGTCTCTATCTTCACTTTTGCTGTAACAATGTACATGTCTCTTCTGTGGGACGAATAAAGGTATTCTGATTCTCATATTTTGAAGTCCACCTCCTCTGCTTCCGGTCATCCTGACGGAGCTTGCACGCGGACAGAGTGACGCAGCGACAGAGGGGGCCGCGCGCTGCACTCATCCATCTGATTCGCTTCCTGAAGCAGTCACGTGGTATCGACAGGCAGCGAGGCTTCGTTTGTCATCGATGACGTCACTGGCCCAAAACGATACAAGCTTCACAAAAAGCTTCGGGGATTACTCGACACACACTCGGTCTCCGAAGCCTCGGCGCAATACTAGACAGAACACTTCTCCCCGGTCAGCGTCAACAACTCTTCTATGTTATTACTTATTCAGTCGTAAAGTAAGTTAATGTTGACACCGTGTTGTCCTGCGAGGGTGTATGGGTAACGCTATGTTGTTAGCAGTTCAAAGTACACATGTTAGCACTACTCATATCTGTCACAGTAATGCTGCGGTATCAGTGCTGCCCTGCTATGAAGTCTCTTAAGAACCTCACAACACTATCCTTTTATTACTTTAGTAAAAGTACAAACACTGTTAGAAGTAAAAGTCCTGTAAGTTTTAGTTTAGTTTATTGGTTTAGTTGTCAGTGACCATGTACAAAAATAACATACATCTCAAAGAGATAAGATGCTTTGTACCAGATTATAGCAGTTTGCTCATTTCCATCTGCAGTCCATGCGCAGGTCAACACAAAATACAGCACGTAGGCTACAATTCAAATCTCAGATATAAGTAAAGAAAAGTACAACATTATCTTAGAAAATATGGTGGAATAGAAGAAAGTGGCATACATGACAATACTCAGGTAAGATACACGGGTAGCCTGGCTGTGTCCAAAGTTCAAAGAGACATTGTAGTCATTTTGAAAAGTGTATTTCAAGTTGTGGTTTTATAGAAAGTAACTTAAAATACTACAAAAGTAGTAAAGTACAGTCCTTGAGTAAATGTACTTCATTGAAGTAATGAAGTATAAATAATCCTTAATTGAGACACTAAGCATCCACCAAACATGCACATGTGTATGGAACTGTGTGACCTGAACCTTAACGGTGAGGTATGTCATTTATTTCAGAAACTCTTTTTGTTATATTCCATGGAATGCTCTTAACATCCCGATAGCAATGAATACATTAAATGCTTTGACAATAAATACATAAAAAAAAACGTCATCTGTGGAAGCCGTAGTGCTGTAAAAAGCACGACCAATCACACGGTTAGTAACTGGATGGCCTACCTGCCTGTCAGCCTTCCATCTGTGCACACATTCATCTCGTGCCCTCATTGGTCATGTGCGCGTTCGTGTGTGTTGGAGGAGGGGCTCTGTGAGGAAGTCTGAAGGAAGAGGCAGATTTTTTCCGGTTGTGTATTTTCAAATTCTAGCGCCCTCGAGCTGGTTTCTCCAAAATGACCTACCCAACCTTTAATGTTTAACCACAAGCGGCTCCACCTGCACAGATAGGCTAACGTTACTTAGAATGAACTAAAAGTATGTCAAAGATCATGGAGTCCTCCTCCTTTTAATACTCTGTGTGTACAACAAGGCAACGAGATAAAGGAGTCCTGTGAAGGGACACTTGTAAGGGTAAAATGCACTAAATGTATTTAGTTGGGATCACTTTTTAAGTGTGTTGCCATGGCACCCCAAAGGGCCCATTGAGATTACATCCAAGGAATATGTTTGGTGTGTTTTGTTTTTTAACCGTTGTAAATGTGTAAACTTCCCTTGAACAGCTGTATTCCCTCTGAGAGGCCATGTATCCTGTCGACCTTCCAGCTGTGGAGGACACTGACCTGACATCTGTATCTGAACTCTACCTCTCCTCTCTGGAGTCAGGAACTCACAACGAGGAGTGGTTTGAGTTATCACACACTTCAAAGGTATCATAACAAGGCCTGCACAATAATCAAACTTTTATCAAAATCAGAACAGGGACTAGTGCGATATCCAAATTGTAGTAAGCGCAATATAATAATGATGCTTTTTTGAAAAGATATCATATAGGCAGAATTGTCCCCCTTATTAACATATTTTACATCTATTACTTCTTTATTTAGTTTCTGTTAACAATTGCTAGCATGGTGACAAATATCTGCACACAAGTTTGGTTCTACTGGAGGTTTATCATAGGTTCATCACTGCTTGTAGAACTTCGGGATTTGACTTCAAATATGAAGTGCGTTACAAATGAAACCCATCATTATTATTCAAAGCGGAATAGGGCCTTTTGTCTCTGTCCCCTCAGGTAGCGATCACAGCAAACAATGTGAGGCTGTTGCAGCTGTTTGATGACCATCAGTCCGACTGTACGCTGCTGGCGCTGCACCCTCCTAATGATCCAACACAAGGTGTGGAAGACCCCCCCTCACCCCCACAGACACCCTGAAGACAGACCCTAACTCTGTGTGCTCTGCCTTCCAGTGCTGGCTCTGTACCTGCAGGACCAGTGGTGGAGTGTGGACGACGCGTTGAGGACATGCTGCAAGGACAGAAACGGCTTGATCTCGGTAACTGCTTTTACATATCTGTTTGTATGTCAGCATCACTACAACACACAGTAATACACACACCAGGCTTCCTCGACCGGTCTGAACAGTGTGGGAGCAAACATATGTGTATGCGATCTATTCATCTGAAAGGGGCCCTATGTTGCTTTCAGGTTTCATATGTGTAGTCTGTGTCTCTACTGTGACAGCTCTCATACTGCCTGTGCTGCAGCACCTCTTTTCACCCTCTGTCTGAAACCAGAGAGGGGAGTGTGTGGGAGGGGAACAGGGGATTTGAGCCTTTGCACACAAACCTATAGAACTGTCACGGAGGTGATCTCTGGGCCCATAGATCTCAGCCTCCGTTACGGGTTGTATGGCTTCATTGTTGTTGATTGTGTTCACCTGGGGCCCTGTGTTGCCCCCCCCCCCCCTCACCTGTGTCTTGTTGGTTGATTAGTCTGTGGCTCTTAGGCTCTGTGTTTCCTGTTTGTGTGTGTGGGAGATCCTGGTTGCTGGTGACCGTGTTCACATGAGACAGTAAGATTGAGGCTGTGTCATGTACCACAAGGAGTCATACATTTGATCTCTCTGCCTCTGCCTCCTTGCTTGGTCGGGCCGCTCAACGGTCAGCTTCACAAGACCACACTACAGGAAAGGGAAAGCCCCAGAAGCACAATAGCCTCTTTTAGGTTGTGTGTTCCATGCTGTGTGCTCTGGTCCGTGTGTGTGTTGTCCTGCAGGTGCAGTCACTGATGGAGCGAGTGATCGTGTTCCTGCTCAGTCAGGTGCTGGAGAGGTCCCCTCAGGAGAAGACGTTGTTCTCCCTGCACCCCCGCACAGAGAGCTGCAAGCTGCTGTGGAGAGACAGCCAGGCGGTGGGCTTCTACACCATCAAACACAAAGGTAGGGGCGGAGAGCGATGGCAACACAATCGCACCAGATAAACTGGGCCAAATAATACTTTTTAAAAATAAGAAAAATCAAAGTTTTGGAAGTTACAAAGATTCACATCAACAATAGCTTTACTAGCAACAAGAGGTCATAACCACGAGTACGGATTACACACTGGGAACAACATGCAAACCAGATGTCGTCTTGTTTATCCATCACAACACGTTTTAACTGAGTTCAGGTTGGTGTTTCTTAGCTTGAGTGATGGGAGAAATATTCAGATCTTTGACTTTAGTCAAAGTAAAAATACAAGAAGGTCAAATGACTTCTACAAGTCAAAGTCCTGCATTCAAAGTCTCACTTATGTAAAAGTACAAAAGTTATATCAGCAAAATGTACTTCAAGTATCAAAAGTACTCATTATTCAGACAAATGTCCTCGATATGTGTTATATTATTACATCAATTGCATTTGTTAATATTGAACCATCTAATAGCATTTAATAACAAACACAATGTTGATAAACAAAATACTGTTGAAGTTGTTGTAATATATTGGATGATTTGGCTTCTTTGTGCCTAAATGATTCCCTCTCTAGTTCCTGATGATGTTCGAGGTTTAGGTAGAGCTGTGTCCTGCAGAGCCTGTCTCTTCCTCTGTGGTGGTTCTCTGACCCCCCCCCCCCTCCCCCCTGTGTTCAGGCAGCCTGTGTGACGGCTGGAGCAGCCGCTGCTACCTGCTGCCTACTCTGGACACGCTGCTGGTGAGGAGGGGCTGGAGGAGGAGGGGCCTGGGGCTACTCATGCTGGAGGACTTCTGCTCCTCCTTCTCCACAGAGGAGATCCTGGGAGTCAGCGCTCCGCTGTCCCCCAGCATGGTGGCAGGTCAGCTGACCCTCTCTATATCTATATATAACATGCATCTCCTTTGACTCTTTTGAGCTACTCTATCAGTCCCTGATGTACTGTACAGAGGACATCTATCAGTCCCTGATGTGCTGTACAGAGGACATCTATCAATCCCTGATGTGCTGTACAGAGGACATCTATCAGTCCCTGATGTGCTGTACAGAGGACATCTATCAGTCCCTGATGTGCTGTACAGAGGACATCTATCAGTCCCTGATGTGCTGTACAGAGGACATCTATCAGTCCCTGATGTGCTGTACAGAGGACATCTATCAGTCCCTGATGTACTGTACAGAGGACATCTATCAGTCCCTGATGTGCTGTACAGAGGACATCTATCAGTCCCTGATGTACTGTACAGAGGACATCTATCAGTCCCTGATGTACTGTACAGAGGACATCTATCAGTCCCTGATGTGCTGTACAGAGGACATCTATCAATCCCTGATGTGCTGTACAGAGGACATCTATCAGTCCCTGATGTGCTGTACAGAGAACATCTATCAGTCCCTGATGTGCTGTACAGAGAACATCTATCAGTCCCTGATGTGCTGTACAGAGGACATCTATCAATCCCTGATGTGCTGTACAGAGGACATCTATCAATCCCTGATGTACTGTACAGAGGACATCTATCAGTCCCTGATGTGCTGTACAGAGGACATCTATCAATCCCTGATGTACTGTACAGAGGACATCTATCAATCCCTGATGTGCTGTACAGAGGACATCTATCAGTCCCTGATGTACTGTACAGAGGACATCTATCAGTCCCTGATGTGCTGTACAGAGGACATCTATCAATCCCTGATGTGCTGTACAGAGGACATCTATCAGTCCCTGATGTACTGTACAGAGGACATCTATCAGTCCCTGATGTGCTGTACAGAGGACATCTATCAATCCCTGATGTGCTGTACAGAGGACATCTATCAATCCCTGATGTGCTGTATAGAGGACATCTATCAGTCCCTGATGTGCTGTACAGAGGACATCTATCAATCCCTGATGTGCTGTACAGAGGACATCTATCAGTCCCTGATGTACTGTACAGAGGACATCTATCAATCCCTGATGTGCTGTACAGAGGACATCTATCAATCCCTGATGTGCTGTACAGAGGACATCTATCAGTCCCTGATGTACTGTACAGAGAACATCTATCAGTCCCTGATGTGCTGTACAGAGGACATCTATCAGTCCCTGATGTGCTGTACAGAGGACATCTATCAGTCCCTGATGTGCTGTACAGAGGACATCTATCAGTCCCTGATGTACTGTACAGAGGACATCTATCAGTCCCTGATGTACTGTACAGAGGACATCTATCAGTCCCTGATGTGCTGTACAGAGGACATCTATCAGTCCCTGATGTGCTGTACAGAGGACATCTATCAGTCCCTGATGTACTGTACAGAGGACATCTATCAGTCCCTGATGTGCTGTACAGAGGACATCTATCAGTCCCTGATGTGCTGTACAGAGGACATCTATCAGTCCCTGATGTGCTGTACAGAGGACATCTATCAGTCCCTGATGTACTGTACAGAGGACATCTATCAGTCCCTGATGTACTGTACAGAGCACATCTATCAGTCCCTGATGTACTGTACAGAGCACATCTATCAGTCCCTGATGTGCTGTACAGAGGACATCTATCAATCCCTGATGTGCTGTACAGAGCACATCTATCAACCCCTGATGTGCTGTACAGAGGACATCTATCAATCCCTGATGTGCTGTACAGAGGACATCTATCAGTCCCTGATGTGCTGTACAGAGGACATCTATCAGTCCCTGATGTGCTGTACAGAGGACATCTATCAGTCCCTGATGTACTGTACAGAGGACATCTATCAATCCCTGATGTGCTGTACAGAGGACATCTATCAGTCCCTGATGTGCTGTACAGAGGACATCTATCAATCCCTGATGTGCTGTACAGAGGACATCTATCAGTCCCTGATGTGCTGTACAGAGGACATCTATCAATCCCTGATGTACTGTACAGAGAACATCTATCAGTCCCTGATGTGCTGTACAGAGGACATCTATCAGTCCCTGATGTGCTGTACAGAGGACATCTATCAATCCCTGATGTGCTGTACAGAGGACATCTATCAGTCCCTGATGTACTGTACAGAGGACATCTATCAATCCCTGATGTGCTGTACAGAGGACATCTATCAGTCCCTGATGTGCTGTACAGAGGACATCTATCAATCCCTGATGTGCTGTACAGAGGACATCTATCAGTCCCTGATGTACTGTACAGAGGACATCTATCAATCCCTGATGTGCTGTACAGAGGACATCTATCAGTCCCTGATGTACTGTACAGAGGACATCTATCAATTCCTGATGTACTGTACAGAGGACATCTATCAGTCCCTGATGTGCTGTACAGAGGACATCTATCAGTCCCTGATGTGCTGTACAGAGGACATCTATCAATCCCTGATGTGCTGTACAGAGGACATCTATCAGTCCCTGATGTGCTGTACAGAGGACATCTATCAGTCCCTGATGTGCTGTACAGAGGACATCTATCAGTCCCTGATGTGCTGTACAGAGGACATCTATCAGTCCCTGATGTGCTGTACAGAGGACATCTATCAGTCCCTGATGTACTGTACAGAGGACATCTATCAGTCCCTGATGTGCTGTACAGAGGACATCTATCAGTCCCTGATGTACTGTACAGAGGACATCTATCAGTCCCTGATGTACTGTACAGAGGACATCTATCAGTCCCTGATGTGCTGTACAGAGGACATCTATCAATTCCTGATGTACTGTACAGAGGACATCTATCAATCCCTGATGTGCTGTACAGAGGACATCTATCAGTCCCTGATGTGCTGTACAGAGGACATCTATCAGTCCCTGATGTGCTGTACAGAGGACATCTATCAGTCCCTGATGTGCTGTACAGAGGACATCTATCAGTCCCTGATGTGCTGTACAGAGGACATCTATCAATCCCTGATGTGCTGTACAGAGGACATCTATCAATCCCTGATGTGCTGTACAGAGGACATCTATCAGTCCCTGATGTGCTGTACAGAGGACATCTATCAGTCCCTGATGTGCTGTACAGAGGACATCTATCAGTCCCTGATGTGCTGTACAGAGGACATCTATCAATCCCTGATGTGCTGTACAGAGGACATCTATCAGTCCCTGATGTGCTGTACAGAGGACATCTATCAATCCCTGATGTGCTGTACAGAGGACATCTATCAACCCCTGATGTGCTGTACAGAGCACATCTATCAGTCCCTGATGTGCTGTACAGAGGACATCTATCAGTCCCTGATGTGCTGTACAGAGGACATCTATCAGTCCCTGATGTGCTGTACAGAGGACATCTATCAGTCCCTGATGTGCTGTACAGAGGACATCTATCAATCCCTGATGTGCTGTACAGAGGACATCTATCAGTCCCTGATGTGCTGTACAGAGGACATCTATCAATCCCTGATGTGCTGTACAGAGGACATCTATCAGTCCCTGATGTGCTGTACAGAGGACATCTATCAATCCCTGATGTGCTGTACAGAGGACATCTATCAGTCCCTGATGTGCTGTACAGAGGACATCTATCAATCCCTGATGTGCTGTACAGAGGACATCTATCAGTCCCTGATGTGCTGTACAGAGGACATCTATCAATCCCTGATGTACTGTACAGAGGACATCTATCAATCCCTGATGTGCTGTACAGAGGACATCTATCAATCCCTGATGTGCTGTACAGAGAACATCTATCAGTCCCTGATGTGCTGTACAGAGGACATCTATCAGTCCCTGATGTACTGTACAGAGGACATCTATCAATCCCTGATGTACTGTACAGAGGACATCTATCAATCCCTGATGTGCTGTACAGAGGACATCTATCAGTCCCTGATGTGCTGTACAGAGGACATCTATCAATCCCTGATGTGCTGTACAGAGGACATCTATCAGTCCCTGATGTACTGTACAGAGGACATCTATCAGTCCCTGATGTACTGTACAGAGGACATCTATCAATCCCTGATGTGCTGTACAGAGGACATCTATCAGTCCCTGATGTACTGTACAGAGGACATCTATCAGTCCCTGATGTACTGTACAGAGGACATCTATCAATTCCTGATGTACTGTACAGAGGACATCTATCAGTCCCTGATGTGCTGTACAGAGGACATCTATCAATCCCTGATGTGCTGTACAGAGGACATCTATCAATCCCTGATGTGCTGTACAGAGGACATCTATCAATTCCTGATGTACTGTACAGAGGACATCTATCAGTCCCTGATGTGCTGTACAGAGGACATCTATCAGTCCCTGATGTACTGTACAGAGGACATCTATCAGTCCCTGATGTACTGTACAGAGGACATCTATCAGTCCCTGATGTGCTGTACAGAGGACATCTATCAATCCCTGATGTGCTGTACAGAGGACATCTATCAATTCCTGATGTACTGTACAGAGGACATCTATCAGTCCCTGATGTGCTGTACAGAGGACATCTATCAGTCCCTGATGTGCTGTACAGAGGACATCTATCAGTCCCTGATGTACTGTACAGAGGACATCTATCAGTCCCTGATGTGCTGTACAGAGGACATCTATCAGTCCCTGATGTGCTGTACAGAGGACATCTATCAGTCCCTGATGTGCTGTACAGAGGACATCTATCAGTCCCTGATGTACTGTACAGAGGACATCTATCAGTCCCTGATGTACTGTACAGAGGACATCTATCAATCCCTGATGTGCTGTACAGAGGACATCTATCAGTCCCTGATGTACTGTACAGAGGACATCTATCAGTCCCTGATGTACTGTACAGAGGACATCTATCAATCCCTGATGTGCTGTACAGAGGACATCTATCAGTCCCTGATGTACTGTACAGAGGACATCTATCAGTCCCTGATGTACTGTACAGAGGACATCTATCAGTCCCTGATGTGCTGTACAGAGGACATCTATCAGTCCCTGATGTACTGTACAGAGGACATCTATCAGTCCCTGATGTGCTGTACAGAGGACATCTATCAGTCCCTGATGTGCTGTACAGAGGACATCTATCAGTCCCTGATGTGCTGTACAGAGGACATCTATCAATCCCTGATGTGCTGTACAGAGGACATCCTGGTCTTTCCAGTGATATGTCATTGGTTAAAATTGCATGCTGGGAAGTTCCTCTTTCTTTTCATCCAAAATGGCTGGCATACGAAAAACAAAATGTTATAGAAGCAGGAGGAGAAGTCAAATATTGTTGAATAATTGTCATTTTTACCATGAAAATCATATATGTTCTTGTTTATTAACATGTGAGGAACTATATAATTAGTTTTGAAAGCAATTAAATAATTCAAGTTTTCAAATAACAGCCCTTTTATAAATGTCCATTCTAGTGGACGTCAGGACTTAATGACTCAATATTGTTGCAGGAGACGGAACTGAAGCAGACCTTTTCTGTACCAGATAGTTCAGGGAGATTAAGATGTTGAGCTCTCAGATGATGAGAGAGAGGAGGCTTTCACACCTGGGATAGAAGAGGGTCAAGAAGAAGGGGGGGGGAAGATGCAGGATGCTCCATGAGCGCACAGATAGATACATAGAGACAGATAGGGACGAGCTGGAAAGACATGGCCCTCTGTGGGCCAAGAGTAGCACGTATGTCTTATTGTTGTTTTTATTTTAAGTGGAGCCATGAAAAATGAGAGTTGCCTCAGGAATGCAAGCTTTGTTTATGTGAGCATGGTCAAATGGAGACCACATCCATAACACTAGTCAAGATTACCCTACAGCCCGTGCCGACTGGAGTCAATGAGGTACTTTTCCAGTACATTGACTACAAGGTCTTTGAAGATCTGGAAAGATTCACCAAAAACCAAACTAGTTTTGTATTGACCAAATAAACAGCAATGTTCAGATCAATTACTTATTTATGTTTTAAATAAAGGTGAATGTATTGATATCACTCTATAACCATAATACGTTACATAGTCTATCTGTTAATTTTGGCTGTCTTTTCAAACTAATATGGTCCCGACTTCCTCTACAGTGGACATACTGTAACATTTCAAAAGTCTAAATGGCAAGATGTTTTTTTTAACCCTAAATAGGTAGGAAATACAAAATAAAGGTTTTTGTTTTTTTTCTCGGTTCCCAGCAATACATATATATATATATATATATATATATATATATATACACAATCAGCAATATAAAAAATATGTTCAAATACACTGTTATAGCAACAGCTAAGTTTACTAAAACAAGTTATATGAACACAAGATACTATGTACCTAATAAGAATAATATTAATAATACAAATAAAACATCCGAGCTCACACAGCAACATTCAACATTAGAGTTAGACTATACTTTAATCACACATTCAAAGCCCAAAGCCACACATTATACAAGTGTGCAAGTTATCTTTTTTAAATAAAATATAAATGCAATGAATTAGAGTTAAGTACAATATATACAAATTGTCCAAGGTTATTTAAATATGGTAAAAAGACATAGAAGCTCTCATAGCCACATGCACACTGTTATTGTTTATTTGAATCTCTCATGGCAGTAAACCCAGAAGTCTCAACATCATGTCCTCTCTCCTCCAGTGTGCAGGAGTTTTCTGCAGCAGCATGAAGAACATCTGGAGAGTCTGTACGAGGTGGAGGCTCCAGGGGGGTGGACCCAACGACGAAACATCTGGCTCAGCATCCAGCTGGGACGCTACACTTCCTGTACACACAGATATGTATCAGCATTGTTTAGTGTTTAGTGTACATCCTTGATCTGGTTCTATGAACTTGTGTTCTCTTAGGTATCAAGGAGGAGAGTGGTCCGGCATCAGGAGACACTCAGAGGAATAATGACTCCTCTCTGAAGGTGGGTGAACGAAATCACAATCCTGGAGATTCAATAAGTAATTCTTTATTTGGAATTATTATTATGGAGTATTCATATTAAACATTTTTTTTGGGGACGTTTGGGGACTCGCCACTACAGGGAAGGGGAAACTAAATAGGGTCCTTTCAAATAATGCTTTGTTTTGAACCGGTGAATGCAGTTTTTCTTGTTTGGCATAGTCCCAAAAATGAAGTTGAGTTGAATCAACACGTCCAACAATGGAAAACCAACCATCATGAGCTTTAACAGAGTAGAACATATTGGTGTTTGTTTCTGTTCACTTTGCATGAATCTCTTTTGGTTGGAAGTGGGTTAGGGTTAGGGTTAGAAGGGTTAGGGTCGCTGAAGTTCGGCTCCACCTCCTGGCATTGAACTTCCTCTGGTGGACGCGGCTGGGTCTGATGTACAGCACATAGAAACGGGCCTGCCAAGAACAGACACAGTGAGGCTCGTTTCATCGGAGTGTGAGGTTCAGTCTGTCCAAAAGACTAACGCTGACAACGATTAGGTAGTCTTCGGGAGGTTGGATCTCAGACTTTCCTTCTTTTGTATCTAATGCAGAGCAGTGATTGCAGGCCGGACCCAGAGAGCTGCTCTGATGTGGACGCTCCACTGGTGACAGGCTCCTCTGCACAACAACTGGAGCTCTGTGCTCAGCGGCGAGCAGGACGCTCCCCCAGCAGCTGTGTCTCTGGAACAGGATGTTGTCCTGCAGCCCACGCTGAAGATCTGGACTCTGGACCTCCCTGCAGACCCCCACAGTCCCTCAACACACAACAAGCCCTGAAACCTAAACCCTCTGTATCTGCAGAGCCTGGAGAGGTAGAGGAAGAACAAAGGAATGCCAAACGAGTTCGAAGGACATGAGAATACAGACACAGTGGAAAACTGTTTACAGTATACAGAGGAGGCTGCTCTGTCCTCCTGTACCTAGGTGACCTTTACAACTTTAACTTTCTAGGCTGAGATATGGATTCATTGAAAGGACTGTTATGGCAATTATGATATTAAAGCTTAATACAGTGTAGTCCTAATGAAATGTGAACAGCTGCATCCTGGAAATGGCATTTAAATGTATGTGTTTGTGTCCGATGTGTTTGGACAAGGGGGTTTTATGACACTACAGGAAGAGAGAATGAGTGCACACTCAAAGCGCCTAAGAGTGGCTGTAATACACAGAACAGGGCGCTCTCTTTGGTGGAGGTGTCATGCTTGCGAAGATCTCAAAATACTTTATATCGATATTATGTTTCTTTGCAATTTTCTCTAGACAGCAGCTGATTTGAAGTTGGTACTATCAAAAAGCATGCGATCAACAGTTTTATATATTTTTTTAAAATGTGCTTTGAAGTGCTCTGTTACACTTGAAATGATGTTATTTGTAATGAGAATCACTTACACTCCTACTGATTTGGAAGTCAGTTTAGGAAGTCTGATCAAAATAAAGGAAAATGTTGATGTTTGCAGAACCTTTGCTTGCCAACATCTCCCAATCCGTTAGCGTTGTTAGGGTGGGGAACGTGTGACCATAATAATGATCAACATGAGGTAATATGCAGGACTCCAGGATAGTATATCATTACCAAGAAGAAGAAGGAGGAGAAGGAGGATGCATACTTTAGCAATCCCACAAGGGGAAACTAGGATCTCACTAATTATAACCCTTGCAGTACAAATACACACATGCAACAAGCAGGACCCATACACATCAGCGCTGAAATACACACATGCTTTTTATGGAGACGTGAGTCAAGGGGGCCGTCTTGTTTCAGTGACCAAGAGCCGTTGTGGGTTCAATGCCTTGCTCAAAGACACTGCAGCAGGGCTCAGGAGGGAACTGGCCCTTCTCCAGATGCCTGTCTTTATTATTTTGTCCATACTCGGACTGGAACCAGTGACCATCCAGCGTCAAACTTTGGCTTAAAAAGTGACATACCAGCAGTGGTGTAAAGTAACTAAGTACTTTTACTCAAGTACATGTACTTAAGAATATTCTTGAGATAATTGTACTTTACTTGAGTATTTCAATTTCTTGCTACTTTGACTTCTACTCCACTACAGTTCAGAGGTACATGGTGTACTTCTACTCCACCACATGTATTTAATACCTTCAGTTACTTCACAGATGAATGATGGTAAATATAATCAAGTGTTGAATCAGACTTTAGTTCCACCTGGAGTAAATCCACCAGCTACCCTGCAGTATACAAAGTCATTCAAACTAGCTGCTCCTTTACCAGCTTTGAGAACACTTCATGATCAATCATTATAAAACATATCATATATATTATTCTGAAATGGACCAATCTGCACAACGACTACTTTCACTTTTGGTGCTTTAAGTATATTTTGATGAATACTTTTCTACTTTTACTTGAGTAACATTTTGAATGCAGGACTTTTACGGTAACAAGAGTATTCCTACACTCTGGTCTACTTTTAAGTACAAGATCTGAGTACTTCTCCCACCTCTGCATACCAGCAACCTCTATTGTGTTTTACCTTTACAAAATGAAATATTTTAATCATTATTCGTATCAATGATAGACCCTGTCTATCGCTGAATGAAGCATATTTTCCCGTCGGCACGTGCTGGGACGAAAACTGAGCGCACCTCTCACGCGGCAACATGCAGGAACAGGAAATGATGAGGAAACAGGAACAATCTGACAGAACTGACGGGAAAAGTTACAGAACAGTTTGTGAAAGATGAGCCGGATTTATCACAACACGTCCTTACAGAACAAACCGGTGCACAATGAGACGGTGGAGCGCGCGTGGGCTCCGTCCTCCTATCACAGGTAGGCTCAGACAGAACCACACTCACTGAGACAGAACCACACTCAGACAGAACCACACTCACTGAGACAGAACCACCACACTCACTGACAGAACCACTATCTGATACAGAACCACTCACTGAGACAGAATCACACTCACTGACAGAACCACTATCTGATACAGAACCACTCACTGAGACAGAATCACACTCACTGAGACAGAATCACTCTCTGAGACAGAACCATACTCACTGAGACCTAGCCCCACCTGTCCCACACACCTCTAACGCATCATTCTGGAAGGGTTTGGATATTCCGCATTAAAGTGAATCTCCAGAGAGCCATAGTAATCTCAATAAGACAGAAAAGGTGTTAGCTAGCTGCTAGCTAACGCCTTCTTTACATATGTTATATATACAGTCAGAGGAAGGAGTACTCTGATCTTGTACTTGAGTAGAAGTATCAGAGTGTAGGAATGCAAGTAAAAGGCCTGCAATCAAAATGTTACAAAAGTATTAGTGTCAAATCTACTTAAAGTAGTACAAGTAGTCATTGTGCAGATTGGTCCATGTCAGAATAATATATATGATATGTTTTATAATGATTGATCATGAAAGTGTTCTCAAAGCTGGTAAAGGAGCAGCTAGTTTGAATGACTTTGTATTCTGCAGGGTAGCTGGTGGATTTACTCCAGGTGGAACTAAAGTCTGATTCAACACTTGATTAGATTTCACATCATTCATCCAGATCTGTAAAGTAACTAAAGGGATTAATACATGTAGTGGAGTCAAAGTACACCATGTACCTCTGAACTGTAGTGGGGTAGAAGTACACCATGTACCTCTGAACTGTAGTGGGGTAGAAGTACAGAGTAGCAACACATTGAAATACTCAAGTAAAGTAGAATTATTTTAAGATTGTTCTTAAGTACATGTACTTGAGTAAAAGTACTTAGTTACTTTACACCACTGTATACACTCTATGCCTTTAAACTAGTTTGACACCACTTTATAGATTTAAAGTTAAAAACACCTGTCCAAATAAATAATTGAGCTTGCTGTGGTTTCATTTGCCATATATATATTTGTAAACATCCATTACACAGGGTTATCTTAAAGGGAGTTCATAATTGTAAAGCTCTTGAACATAATTCTCCTAAAATAAACCCAATGCACGGTTGCTTTTGTAACAGGTCTTATCCGATTAATCTCCTTTATTGTACAATAAACACACAATGAAATGCTCATGAGGAAAGCCTTTATGTTAAAGGTCCCATGTCATGCTTCTCTGGTTCTTACCCCTTGTGTGTTATGTAGCTCTTTCTGCATGTAAAGGTCTGCAGAGTCACAAACCCTGAAAGTACACCCTGTAGTGAGTAAAACTCTAACACAGAGAAGACCTGTCTGTGCTGCCCTAGAACGCCTCGTTGGACATTTCTCTTTTTCCATTGTGTTCTTCCTGGTCGTAGTGACGTAAGGGTCACAGTGACGTAACGGCTCCGCGGATTGGTCATTTGGACCAATCCGCAAACTTCCTCACTCACTCACTCACTCACTCACTCACTCACACTCACTCACTCACTCACTCACTCACTCACACTCACTCACTCACTCACTCACTCACTCAGCCTTATCTTTTCTCAGCCGCAGCTCCGCGGATTTCTCAGGGTAAACTCAGCCTGAGAAAGCGAAACACCGCAAAACCCAGCCTTAACTCAGCCTGAGCACACACACAAACTCACAGCCTGGTTACGAGTGTGTGTGTGTGCTCAGGCTGAGTTTCGCGGTGTCTCGCTGTCTCGCTGTCTCGCTGTCTCGCAGACCCCACGCAGCAACCAGGAGACGACACCAGTAATCCAGCTCACACTGTCCGCTCCTTGAGCCCCACAGGGCGGAGCAGCGAGCCCAGCAACGTCCCGCCAACACGGCACCCAGACCCCACGCAGCATTCTCATCTGTTTGTCATTACTGGTGTCATTTTCTGGTTGCTAGCAAACGCCATTGTAACACATAATCACACATCAGAGCACAGTGGGCTCATAGGGACAGAGAGTGAATACACATACAGAGATGCTGTATGAGAAACCAATGTGAGTTTGGAACATTGAACAATGTAAATCTATTCTAGTAGACCTCAACAATGGAATTATGATCAGTAGAAATGGCCATGACATGGGACCTTTAAACTTTTAAATTCTGTTGATTGTATCTGTAATGTCCTTTTCAACTTTTGTTGTTTTAATGTGGTCTTACAGTTTGCACCTATTTATCAAAAATATTTATTAAAGGGTATGTAGCCGACACGGCTGATATTTGATGTTTACATGAAATGTACTTTTACACAAGTGTCAATATAATTTTATTTTTCCATTTAGTGGCCCGGGGGTTCTTCTAGAAGGAAAGCTGCTGGATGTTTCCAGACATGCGATCACTGATTGCAACAATCAAAAGGTCAAATGTCTAACCTTCCTTCTTTTATTGTGGGAGAAAGACCTTCCGAAGACTACCTAATCATTGTCAGCGTTGAACCTCACACTCCGATGAAACGAGCCTCACTGTGTCTGTTCTTGGCAGGCCCGTTTCTATGTGCTGTACATCAGGCCCAGCCGCGTCCACCAGAGGAAGTTCAATGCCAGCGGGAAGGAGGTGGAGCCGAACTTCAGCGACACCAAGAAGGTCAACACTGGCTTCCTCATGTCCTCCTACAGTGAGTGGATCACACATTTGAGTTGCGTGTTTATTAAACTTGTCTATCTGCCAACTATGCTGTGAGGGATGTTGAGTGAGCGATCACAACTAAGCAAAGCTAGATTAGTCAGTTAGCTATTTAAGCTAGGCCTAAAACCAGAGTTGATGTTGTTACAAAGATCATCTTTAACCTGGCTAGATTGCCATGGCAACTTATGCTGCACTGTTAACCTGTTCTGGAAAAGGTCATGTTCAGATTTTTGGATATAACTGGCTTAAAAATGCCAATCAGAAACGGGTTTATTACCAGGTAGGTTTACACGTACGAGGAATTTGACTTGGTGTCGTGGAGCACAAAAGCAAGAATTAAAAACACAGGAAGAGAATATGTAATGCCAACGTGTTGAGAAATAACTTTATATCGCTTATATATAACTTTTTCCCGCTGGCATATACAGCTCTGTAAAAAATGAAGAGGCCACTGCAGCATTATCAGTTTCTCTAGTTTTACTATTTAAAGGTATGTGTTTGAGTAAAATGATTTTATTTTGTATTTTATTCTCTAAGCATTTCTCTGTGTTGGAATTCAACAGACGCTGGAATGGAATGGCTGCCATACATGTAGGGGTTGAGATTTAAGAACAATGTGGAGTGGTCTCTTGATTCTTTTCCGGAGCTGGACTGAATACACACAGGGGAAATCACCTGTATGCATCACTTTGTTTTTGCCGCGCTAACCTATGTCAGTAATGCAGAAAATAGGAACCACAGAGCACAACATGAACCACATGGCTTCATGTTGGGGAGATTAAGCGTTTCTGACTTTTTCATGTGTTGTCTAATTGGTGAAGATGCTTTTATTATTTGCTTGTGTTGTTCCATCTGGCTGTAGACTGTTCTAAAGTTGCAGTGCGCTGAGCTTTCAGAGCCAGTGTGAGTTGTTGTGTCTTCTAACTTCATCAGCTTTATAAACATGTTGTCTCCTCAGAGGTGGAAGCTAAAGGCGGGTCGGACCGTCTCTCTGAGGATCAGCTGTCAGCGACGGTGAACAAATCTGAGCTGCTGAAGATTACCGATAAACACCGCCCCGACGGGACCTGGGCCTTCTGGTACCCCGAGGCAGAGATGGAGCAAACAGAACTGGAGACGGGACAGGAAGTACGGCTGAAGACCAGAGGAAACAGTCCTTTCATATGTGAGGCCAAACCCTGCTGATTTACTGCTTTAAATGTACCGTAGAAAGGAGAAAAGAGTGAATGTGCATCCGGTACACTCATTAAAGGAAAGGATACTCTAAGATTTGAAGTAAAGATGAATTGAGATAAACTGTTAAAGAACAAATGATAACTAAATAATGACTCCCAATGTTTTTTTCCAAACTTTGAGAGTTATTTGGTCATGATTATTTCATGTTAAAGTGAAATACGTAAGATCTGTGAACACCCGCGGAAGATCTGTATGCTGACGTACCTTTGTTTCGTTGAATTATCTTCATTTTGTTGTTTTACGTTTTTTGTGTTGTCTTTTTCTTTTGGCTCAATCAATTAAATAAATGAACTTTCCACCTTCATTGTGTCTTCCAGTCTCCTTAGCCGAGGTGGACGGTGGCACGGTGACCAAGTGTAACTTCGCTGGAGATGAGAAGGCCGGAGCATCGTGGACGGAGAAGATCTTGGCCAACAAAACAGAGGGAGCCAGCTCCCAGATGCCCGGGGGAGAGGGAGCGGAGGAGGACGAGTGGGTGAGGAGGACACCTTCCAAATCTCACCCAAGACGAAATACTGGGACTAATAAAACCTACCTTATTTATAGTTCTAGCGGTGCAGGAATGAGACCTGCATCCTGGAAATAAGTTAGCACTTTCTCCTCTCCTCTGTCTCAAAGTCAGTAAATACCCCACTGGTATGTGGGAAGCGTCTCTGTGTCATACAGTAGCACGTGAACATTAGCCTTTAGCTTAGTTTACATGCTGTTTTCTGTGTATTGCCTTTCAACTAAATATAGACATTTTTATTGATTGGGATAAACCCCTTGAGATGCACCATCTCGTTTTCAAGGGGGTCCCGACAATAGCAACAACTTACAGACATACATAAACAAAAAGACAAAATGCAAAACATGACACACAAGACAAACCACATACAGTCTGTTAAGTGAAATTCAAGCAATGCATACAATCATTACAATTTGAGACAGTCGAGCAAATCAGTTTCATCAATATCAGTTAATAACACGTACAGACCAGTTGAAAGTGAGATAACAATGTGAATGTGTGAAAGTTAAATGTGAAAGTATCATAAAGGTGTGTTTGCCGCTGAGATTATTTCCTGCAATATTCATTAATTGGAATAATCCCATTTCCTTTTGTCTAAGGAGCCATGGCAATGCTTACTTCCAGATTGTCTTTCACAAATACATGAGCAATCTACCACTCTATAGCCCTAATGCAGCAGGGTTCTATTCTCTCTTGAATCATTCACAGGACAGAAAGTCTGTGCTTCATTTGACCAAACGCTCCAAGTGAGAACAAACTCCACAAGCTGCTGTCATTGTAGCTGTTTGATTCTGTAAGACAGTATGCTAACTGAATCACTTTGTACCAAAAGGCATAAAGACTTTTCTTAAGTGTGAACCTCAGTGAGTCAGGAAGTGGGAGCAGAATTCCACGGTGGCAGGTATCTGACTGACTCTCTGCTTCTCTCTCAGGAGGAGTGAGGAGAGTCTCTGGCCCTGCTGCATGCTGAGCTTCTTCAGCTTGGATCACCCCCATCCCTCTGCCTTCGGAGTGGACAACTTTTCTCCTAACCTCTCACACATGTGGCCTTGGGCTGGAAGTCACGTGACACTGGGACTCTCTCAGCTGTTAGCTCTCGTGAACACTCTGTACTTTAGATCCCCATTGTTATGACTGGAACTTTTCAATCTTTCTTGGCGCATTATTCTATTTTTGCCAGTTTAGGTCCAAGTTGAATCCAGAGTGCATCCAGAAGCCTGGGTTAAGGTCTGTGGTTAACACAATCGTACGAAATGTTTGATGTTTTGTTCTACAACATAAAATAAGTCAGCAAAAACTCCACTCGTGAATGTCTGAAGCTGCCATGTGTGTAAAAAAAGGCAGTTGCTAACAAGTGGCTAAATGAGACTGCTAAATGTCCTCTCGCCGACACAAGTCCGCAGCCATGTGACCGGGATCTAGTTCCTTTACATCATTACATTAACGTTGTACTGCTGCCGATCGCATTTACTTAAAACGCTGTGTTGTGTTAATATTATCCTGTCGAACAAAACGTGATAAGTAACATTTACGTGTGTTTGACACAAAACGTATTTTCTGCAATATTCTGAAATCCAATTGCTTTTTGTTGTGATCGCCCTTGAGATGCTAATTTCCAGTCCGACCTACACAAATACGTCATCACTGCACCGCTCTGACATACCCAAATATCTAACTTCATCACTATGTTGGTTCCTCAGTACAATCATTTTAAGTCTTGTCTACGGTTTGGAACATTTGACTCTAAAGTAAAATATCCATAGTTCTATCTTCAGAGACTGTCATTCTGTCTGTCTGTATATATATTTTTCTTGACAAGTGTTTCACATACTGTGTAATGTATTGAAAGGGGACCACTATTAATTGTTTCAGGGGTGCATGGCATTCTGGGTAAAGCTCTCTCTTTGTTGCTCGCTACTATATTAACTGATATAACGCCAAATATTCATCGTTTGAATTCATGCCCCCGGGCGCCGTACATAATGGCAGCCCACTGCTCCTAACACTAGGATGGGTCAAATGCAGAGAAACCGTTTCGTTACATAGTACCGTAATGACAATAAGTTGAATCTTCTTCATGCACAAATACTCTACATGTGTTCAGTCGAGAGACATTGTAATCAGCTGCTTTTGTTGGTGTTGAATAAACAGGCTAAAAACAATCCAGTGGAGTGTTATATATCGAAAGAGTATTCAAACCTCAAGTTATTTAAACAATATTTTATTGCTGGTTATTATCATGGTCATCTTCTTACAATAGATATTAAAGTGAGTCACTATAGCTATTGTAAAATATACATGTTAAGGATTAAATGACTTAATCAATGTTTTATTATCAAAAAACACAATTTCAACAACATACAACAATAATGCTGTCTTTGATTACAACATATATAAAACACATACATGTGTTCCTGTAAACAAATGGAGGAAGTTCTATCCTTTAGCTGTGTAAATGATTCACAAGCGGGTTCATTTAACTGCTCCAATGAACTAGTGTTTGTTTTCATAATACGTTAGAACAATGTTTTTTTGGAGAATAACATACCTATTGGAAGTTTCAATCCATTTTCAAATTTAACAAAGATTTTAAAACATCTGTGATAAAGAGCAACAACAAAAATGATTTTCAAAAGTAAATGTGATCATTTTGAATCTAACATTAAACTTTTCAAACGACTATACTTCAATATAGCATCTTTAGTATCATGTGCAATAATGACCAACAGTAGGGTAATTCTCTTCTTACTTTGACTGTTAGCATTGAATATACTATATAAATAATGTACATACATACTGTAAACACTGTGTCTTCACTTGGTGTCACATTTGTTTCAGAGTCGGTTCTATGCTATGATTCAGTCTCCCTGTTCAGTCTGGGGAATCGAATGATGATTATTTTCCTGATTAAGTCTTGATCAGTTCTTGTTTCTGAAGTGCATTGATTGACAGAGGAAAGTGAGCTAACTCATGTAAAAATGCTAGGACCACTGGTCGTTAAGAGTTCTTGTTTTTTTTACATTCAACTAAGCTGTTTCTCTTTCAAACCACTCTAGTATAACATCTTTGTTCTCGCTGACCCACTGGATGTTGACTGCAGTTTGCTCAATGGCCTGGTACGCCACCCTGGAAGCTGGACCCAGATCATAATCCTTCACAAAACGCTCCAGCTTTGTGTGTGTATGTATACACACACACACACACACACACACACACACACACACACACACACACACACACACACACACACACACACACACACACACACACACACACACACACACACACACACACACACACACACACACACACACACACACACACACACACACACACACACACACACACACACACACACACACACACACACACACACACACACACACACAGTAATGTTAGGTTAGGCAAAACATGTCTGACCACCATGGTTTTATCTTGCTTGATGATAATTCAATGAAAAGTACAACCACATTGCTTTGTTAACCAGGTACACATAGAAGGCCAAATCTGACATTTCATCTTTCTATGTTCCAAACTCAATAATGAGCAACACTTGCACACTTTTCTTCATCACCATAAACACACACACCGTTTTTATAGGTCTATAATCACCTACAAATAGGGATTGTTGTGTTATCTTAGAATGAGCCTTTAGTATAAAAATAAGGATCAAGTCCGTTTTACGGAGTTCAACTTGTTGCATGGCCATGTTCCTACATTAGCCCTGGCTCTAGAGAAGGCCTCTTTTTGTTTCACGTTACCTTTGTCAGCTCTAGATTTTCTACACACTTGGAAAAGGAGCTGTTAGTAAAGGATGGGTTTTCAGTTGGTTGCATTCTGAAACATCACCACTAGACGTCACTAAATCCTTTACACTGGACCTAATTCAAAGCAGAATAAGTTGAATATAGTTTGATTAAAAATGGGATTGACCAAAAGTGAAGAACAGGTAATGAAGGATGAACATGAAACCAGCGCAACAGTGTGGCTCACTGATGTATTTAACAACAATGGAGCTCTATGGAACAGAAGAAGAAGAGATATCAGGCTGTATAAATACTTATTAGTGGTGGTTTTCAACTTTTCATGAAATATTTTGGTAATAAAAAAATATAAAAAATAACCAGCCTTCACCTTAAAGGTGGGGTAGGTACGTTTCAGAAACCGGCTCGAGTGCACTAAAATTTGAAAGTACACAGCCGAAAAGAATCCGCCCCTTCCTTCAGACTTCCTTACAGAGCACCTCCTCCAACACACATGACGTCAGCAGACTGGTGAAAGTGGCCGCCTGTTGCTGGCGAGTCATTGAAGTACTGCTGCAATGCACGCCCAATGACGGCACGCCCAATGAGGGCACGAGATACATTTGTGCGTGCACGAGATGGAAGGCTGACAGACAGGGCGGCAATCCAATCCGTTTAGCCGGCCCGGCTAAACGGATTAGTTGTTCTTTTTACAGTATTACGGCTTCCACAGATGACATTTTTTAATGGATTTTTTGTCAAAGCACTTCAGATATTCATTGCTATCGGATGTTAAGAGCATTCCATGGAATATAACAAAAAGTGTATCTCGAGCCGGTTTCTGAAACTTACCTACCCCACCTTTAAATGATACAAAAAAATCATCTTAATGAGAATAAATGACATTGTAAGAGATCTGAGGTTTTGGCTCACAGATAAACTAACTTGCCGTCATCCATTAACTGACGATGACAACGATACATCTGATAAGTTGTAGGGTGTATCCACTCATTTGTTGAATATGAATCAGTTAGCGGTGCGTGACTGGAGAGAGGAGTTCCCACTTGATGGCATTGCATGACAGTATTATCAATTTCGTAATAATGATTAGACATCCATAAATTACCTCTTCCAGTTCGAACTGGGTGGAGAACCTGCCGGTCACTTCCTCGATCAGCGTGACTGGATCCCTGGAAGCAGAGACAGGGTGGACAAAATATCAGCAATTACACTGAACACAAATATAAATGCAACACTTTTGTTTTTGCTCCCATTTTTCATGAGATGAACTCAAAGATCTAAAATATTTTCTATATACACAAAATAACCATTTCTCTCAAATATTGTTCACAAATCTGAACAAATCTGTGATAGTGAGCACTTCTCCTTTGCCGAGATAATCCATCCCACCTCACAGGTGTAGCATATCAAGATGCTGATTAGACAGCATGATTATTGCACAGGTGTGCCTTAGGCTGGCCACAATAAAAGGACACTCTGAAATGTTCAGTTTTATCACACAGCACAATGCCACAGATGTCGCAAGTTTTAAGGGAGCGTGCAATTGGCATGCTGACAGCAGGAATGTCCACCAGAGCTGTTGCCCGTGAATTGAATGTTCATTTCTCTACCATAAGCCGTCTCCAAAGGCGTTTCAGAGAATTTGGCAGTACATCCAACCGGCCTCACAACCGCAGACCACGTGTAACCACACCAGCCCAGGACCTCCACATCCAGCATGTTCACCTCCAAGATCGTCTGAGACCAGCCACTCGGACAGCTGCTGCAACAATCGGTTTGCATAACCAAAGAATTTCTGCACAAACTGTCAGAAACCATCTCAGGGAAGTTCATCTGCATGCTCGTCGTCCTCATCGGAGTCTCGACCTGACTCCGGTTCGTCGTTGTCACCGACTTGAGTGGGAAAATGCTCACATTCGATGGCGTCTGGCACGTTGGAGAGGTGTTCTCTTCACGGATGAATCCCAGTTTTCACTGTTCAGGGCAGATGGCAGACAGCGTGTGTGGCGTCGTGTGGGTGAGCGGTTTTCTGATGTCAATGTTGTGAATCGAGTGGCCCATGGTGGTGGTGGGGTTATGGTATGGGCAGGCGTATGTTATGGACGACGAACACAGGTGCATTTTATTGATGGCATTGTGAATGCACAGAGATACCGTGACGAGATCCTGAGGCCCATTGTTGTGCCATTCATCCACGACCATCACCTCATGTTGCAGCATGATAATGCACGGCCCCATGTTGCAAGGTTCTGTAGACAATTCCTGGAGGCTGAAAACATCCCAGTTCTTGCATGGCCAGCATACTCACCGGACATGTCCCCCATTCAGGCCCGGTTCTACGGGGGTGCATAAGGGTGCATTGCACCCTCAGTTGAGTCGTTATGCACCCTCATTTGAAAAATGAAAAGTGAAAAAAATAAATAATTAAAAGTGAAAAATATGACATATATAATAATAATAAGAAGAAGAATTTATTTGAAATAAAATAAATTGTAATTGTGGTTAAATAACATTGTCTGCTGCATTTATTTGGTCAATTTAAACGGTAAGTAACGTTATTATTAGGGCTCTCAGTCGATTAAAATAGTTAATCGCGATTAATCGCACATTTTTGATCTGTTCTAAATGTACCTTAGAGGAATATTTGTGAAGTTTTTAATACTCTTATCAACATATGAGTGGACAAATATGCTTTATGCTAATGTTTATTATCATTTGAACAATGACAAATATTCTCATGAATATTAAACACAACAACTTCTGAACATTACAAATATTCGCCTCAATTCAACCTGGAACCTCTCTCATTCAATAATACAATACAAATGGTGTGTGTGTGTGTGTGTGTGTGTGTGTGTGTGTGTGTGTGTGTGTGTGTGTGTGTGTGTGTGTGTGTGTGTGTGTGTGTGTGTGTGTGTGTGTGTGTGTGTGTGTGTGTGTGTGTGTGTGTGTGTGTGTGTGTGTGTGTGTGTGAGTGATGGATCGTTGGAGCTATGTGCAACTCAAGGCATATGCTCGAACGGGAGCTGCCTGGACGCTGCAATCATGTTGCACTCTCCGTGCTGAGTGTGCTGACTTCTCGTATAATGTCCCACTGTCTGGCTTCCTGCATACAGTCAAGTGCTCGGCGCAGTTGTCGGCGAAATGTCGCTCCTCTGTTTTCATTTAAGCAGCTCCTTATATCCGTTAGCGCAGCTAGCTAGCACCAGATGCTAACAACAACAATGCACGTAAGGTCTCTCTCTCGCTCGCTCGGGCCACACATACACACACCCTCCCGGTCCTCCCAATAGCCAGTCGGTGCCTGCCGGTGAGCGTGGAAGTGTGGTCTGCCACAAGCAGGCAGCAGGAGCGGGGCTGTCAGCATCAGCTTGTAGATGGTATTTTAAACCCGATGCGCTCTGAAACTACGGGGCGGCCGAGGACAAAAAATACACATGCATTAATCGCGTTAAAATAATTAGTGCCGTTATTTTTGCTTATTATGTCAGGTGTGCGTGACGTGTGCTTACACAGCAGTCAGTGATGGACATCAGAAAATGGTTAAAACAACCAGCCCTTATCGCCAGCAGTAACACTGCATCTACTGCAGGTAATAACAGTTCAGATCATGGGGACATTACGTTACCCGCGGCCACTGTTGTGGACACTAACGCGCGACTCGCCGGCAATGCCCGCCTCGCCCACGGAGGCGGAGCAGCCGTAGCCGTCTTCCTTGCCCCAAACACCGCCACCCCTCAGCGGCCCGCAAGTGCCAGAGGACCTCGGCAAAACAGAGCCTGCCCAGGTATATTTAAACAAGTTCCCAACTCGCCTGTACAGTGGGGTAAGGCGCTCATTTTGCAGCTCATGGTTTCAAAACAGAGATTGGCTGGAATATTCATGTGAAAAATATGCCGTCTTCTGCTATGCATGTAGACATTTCGGTTCAAGTACGTCAGATGCCTTCATCACAACTGGCTACTGTTGTGGAAATATTTTCCAAGGCCCATAACTTTGACCCAGTTTATCAGTTCAAACTGTCCTGACTGAGCACACACACCTCGTAACCTTGACTGCTGTGCTCTCAGTGTTCTGTCTCCCTGTTCCTGCCTGTTGGCGTCAGCTGATAGAGGTGTTATGATTTTATCTTGTTATGCAGCAGTTTGATGATGCTCTCAGAACTAGTTAAATACATGGGTCTGAGTTCTTTAGAATTGACGTGGCCACTCTACCGTGAAGTCAGAACCTCTGGCTCTTGGACTTGTGATGTGAATCTCTCCGGCCGTAACTCCAAATAAACCATCATGTGTTTGACATCAAAGCTACTGCTCCTACCGTGTCTCCTTCCTGAGTCGGTGACTCCCACTGCATTGCTACACAGAAGTTTCCCTTACAGCTACAACAACTGGCGCCATGCTCTTATAGGCTACATGATAAGGGACTGGGAAGGCACGAATCAAGCAAAGAGCACATAGATCTCTTAATGTTGCTCTCAAAGTGCACCAGATTGATGCTTTTAACTTCAATATTTAAAAAAACATCTTCTCGGGGGAGCATGCCCCCGGACCCCTCTAGAGGGTGTTAGGTCCACTCCCCACTTATAAAAATAGCACTTTACCACTGCACCCTCTCTAATCTCAGATGCACCCTGAGTCATTTTGTTCTGGAACCGGGCCTGCACCCATTGAGCATGTTTGCGATGCTCTGGATCGGCGTATACGACAGCGTGTTCCAGTTCCTGCCAATATCCAGCAACTTGGCACAGCCATTGAAGAGGAGTGGACCAACATTCCACAGGCCACAATCAACAAGCTGATCAACTATATGCCAAGGAGATGTGTTGCACTGCGTGAGGCAAATGGTGGTCACACCAGATACTGACTGGTTTTCGGACCCCCCCAGACCCCCCCAATAAAGCAAAACTGCACGTTTCAGAGTGGCCTTTTATGTGCAATAATCATGCTGTCGGTGTGGTATCACAGATTTTTTCAGATTTGTGAACAATATTTGAGAGAAATGGTTATTTTGTGTATATAGAAAATGTTTTAGATCTTTGAGTTCATCTCATGAAAAATGGGAGCAAAAACAAAAGTGTTGCATTTATATTTTTGTTCAGTGTATCTTCCATGTAGTGCAACGCAGTTCAACAACACCACAAACCCCTTGCAGACTCTAAAATGGGCAAAAGTCAACACATATCTCAAACAGTTTCTGCAATAATCATGGCCTCAAAGAAGGTGGACTTTACTGCAGGAGTGTTGTATGAGACTGCATTGGTTTAAGCTGCCTAATACACTTTTTTTTATTGTAAAACAGTATGAAGAAGTCCGAGACCATTCTGGTAATTTGATTTAGCTCATCTGAGGTGTCCCTGTTTGCTCATGAAATGAAACCTTGTATGTCTGTTGTGTGTGTAAACTTTGATACCAATTTATTTTTCGCTTCCTGGTAACGGCACACGCAGTGGGGACTTTATGAAGGAGAGATAATGATAAGCACTGATTAAATAACAAGACCTTTGTACTTAATGACATCTGAAGAAGATTGATATAAGCCACTGTTTATTATATTTTGTTCTTTTATGGCACTGCTTCTTTATTTAAGTGACTCGCCCGCTTGTCACTTCAGTGTCCAGAGACCTCTGTGATGAGGAGCCCATCAGCAGAACGTCCATAAAGACAACACAGACAACAACAACCTCGTCTTTAACTGGCAGCTCATGGCCTGAGAGCAGGTCTGAGAAGATAAGCCCATGAGCAAGCCAATACTGTGTTTAGGGTTAGACTGATAGAGGAGTTGTGGGGCTGATACTGCTCTTTAAACTACCACTGAGTCAGTGCTATGAGGTGGTGGAGGTTCTTCCTTGAATCTTGTATCCATCATGTAGCTCTGTAATCAATGTTGCTAAGATGTAATGCCACAGCACAACCTGAGCCAAGTCTAGCAAAGTTAGGCTAAAAGTTTCCTAGACCCATCTCTGGATAGACACAGGCTGGTGTCAGGTCAAGTCTGTTTTCCTAACCACTTGTCCTAAATGGGAAACGTCACAGGGTGAAGGAAAGATGTGAAGGAGAATTCATTCGGACTTCAGATCTGTTTGTTGTAGTCAACTTCAGAAGAATTAGGACAAATGTTTGTGTCCGATTTCTGTCCCCATGAAAAAGTTGGATTGAGCTTTAAAGAAACCATAAGAAGAATGTCTGAGCTCCAAGTTCTCATAATCTCAACGCTGTGTTCGTTTCTCCACCCTATCATATGTTTTCGGGTTTAACCACAAGTACTTGTAATTTTCTTGCAAATCTGTCTGAATAAGAAACGGCTACATTTAAACATAGCATCAAGTATATATTGGTTAAACCCAATGCCACAATCTGTAAGCTGTTCATGACTCAGAAAAATAAAGCAATATAACCTTACCCATATCTGACATAGTTCCAGTGAGCTCTGATAAAGTTCCAGGCCAGCGCCTGCCCGGCCACATTCCTCGAGACGTAGCTTATAGAGGAAGCAACCTCCATCAGACGTATCAGCTCAGGGTCCAAAGTGTAATCCAGGTATCTGCAAGATAAGGAAGCCACTGACAAACTCTTCACTTCATAATAACAACTGTGTGTTTGGGATTCACCTTATCAAAGTCTAGCATATTGAAAGAAGGTATTATGTGCACGGTAAAAAAGCATAGGCGTCCTTTGCGCTGGGGACTCTGGGGACATGTCCCTACCACTTTTTGAACATGCACATCTTGAGAACAGTTTGTCTAGTCAAACTTGGTCGGTGTATTTCTGGTGACACAAGAAGTGCTATGTGGTTTGGCTTGTTTGCCTGAAGTAATAAGTGTCACTGCTTTATTAAAACATCTTCCCCAGACCCCCCTACAAGGGTTTGGTTTACAAAGATGACACTTTATCACAACATGTTTGCAGGTATGTGTGTCGCCGTGGAGAGCAGGTGTGTGCAAGTCTCCTAAAGAAAGACGTAGATTATTGGCTTCCTAAATATTTTCCCCCACACATATAATGGTTCCTATGACAACAGTCTGTAGCCTGACACTGTGAACCCTGTGTCTACAAATGGTAGGGAAACTAGTGTGTACAAAAAAAGGGTTGCACGCAATACAGTTTTATTTTTATCTGAAAGAAGTGTCCCAACCACTTTTCAAAACAAAGGTAAAAAGGTCACCTGCTAAGCAGCCAGATCTTCTTGGTGCAGGACAGAGCCCGCCGGAGCCGGTCCCTCTCCGAGACGTCCGAGGAGCGAAGATACAGGTCCCAGGCAAACTCCCACTCCTCCTTCCCCCCATGAGCCACAGCTTGGCAGTAGATTACAGACCGCAGGTTAGGGTGGATGCTGAATCACACACAAACACACACACACACACACACACACATTTTCATTACATCAGGACTGTCTCATTTCAACATGCCGTCTAAATGTATTAACACACTTTCATGCATGTACATGTATGTGGAAGTAGTACTCAGATCCTTTACTTAAGTAAAAGTACAAATACAATGGTCTCAAAATACTCCACTATTGATTTCAAAATTGTACTTAAGTAAAAGTACGAAAGTATTAGCATCAAGACAAAATGTACTTTTAAAGTACAAAACGTAAAAGTAGGCTTTTGCATAATTAACATGATCCATTTCCGAATGATATAAAGTACACAATAATTCAAAGTATCAAAAGTGAAATGAGTCATTATGCAGAATGGATCTTTGTCCCAGTATTATATTATTTGGTTATTATTTAAAATCTCTTAAATGTAGTGGAGTAGACGTATAAAGTAGGATTAAGGCGAGACACGGCAGGCAAAAACATCGTTTTTCATGCACTGGTCAATTTTGAGATTTTGTGCTATTTTGATTCCATAACATGTTTTCTTTCAGGCTTTTGGAAGGAAAACGTAAAAAATACACATTTAGATGTTTATTTTTAATATAGTCTGTCTATTTGCGTCTGTATATTTCTCCTAAATTCACCAAAAGTTAGCATTTTAACGTAACATAAAGTACCGCGACCGCTGTGTGCACCATGTAATCAGAGGTATCGTTGGAAAGCTCCGTCTACTGCACAATCTCATCGGATCCAAATTTGGTCATTTATTTTGTATCTGCAACCAAAAGTACAAAGGGGTCTTAAACCAAAAAACGTGATTCGTTCAGATGCGTCACGTGGTGTGCTAAAACACTTAGCTTTCCGCTGGAAAGTTTAAATCTCAAAATGGCAAAAGAACAGCAAAAAAAACGTTCACAGGGAAGACGACAACAATTGTCACTTGCATGAAGCAAGGTTATACAAAAAACAAATGACCCCGAACATGAAATACCTTCATGGAGTGCGTCGATGCGCAAGCTGTCATCAAGAGAACAGGAGGGTTTAGCTAGCGCCTCACTGCAATCTTTAAAGGTCGTTTTCAAATGAGTTTTTTCTCCTACTCTGAGTTCGAAATGTCCACTTCAGTAGCACGTTGAGACACCAAACCTTCCAGTTATATTCCTATCAATATTATGAAGGCTTTTACTGAAGGGTTTGTTCATATATCATTCATAGCCTGAATTATACAACATTGTATACCTAAAAACATGGTGACAATTGATATTTTAGGGCTGTAAAAAGTGATATCCAAAATCCCTTCTGTAAAAGCCTTATATACTAATATGACTACAAAATGAAACAAGACTTTTTAACCTGGCTTTATCCAATGTTCAGATTTGTGTTCCTGAAATGTATTAAAATATGCGCATATCTAATGAGATTATGGCTCATTTGCATATTTAAACATGCTATTTCAGAAAACTTGTAATACAAAAAACAATTGTCTTAATGTAAGTAATTAATTGGAGAAATTTCTAGCTGATATCTTTAAGTTAAAAAAAAATACCCTATTCATCTGTAGTGTCTCGCCTTAAAGGGAAATACTCAAGTAAAGTAAAACTATTTCAAAAAAGTACTTAAGTACAATACTAGAGTAAATATACTTAGTTACTTTCCACCACTGAAAAACTGAAAAGTTGACTTTAATTAAATGTATTATGTCAACAAATTGCACATTACAGTTTTAGGTTCGTTGAAAGAAATAATATTCCGTTGAACCTAATGTAAAGTCAACGTTTCAGTTTTTTCATTGTGAAGAATACACATTTATTGAAAAGTCAATGTCTCTACTTGAAAGTTGCAGCTGGTTTCCAAAATACAAAGAAAGCTAGTGTGAAGGTACAGGAGTTTTGTTTTGGCAAACCCTTTTTCAATAAGTTGGAAAAGGATTGCCATGGTCGCCAAAGTATATGATTTAAGCTTAGAGTGCATGTTAACATCCAGCCCAGAGCAACTTTAAAGATAAAAACCACAATGCAGACGGGGAACAGCAGGCACCAACAACAAACACGAAAAAAGGGATCATAACGACACCTACCTTTCTTAAATCATTGCTGGAGTGTAAAGCAACAGAACAGGATGACAGCTGTTACAGTGAGAACCTTAGAACCAACAGACCTCCAGTGTAGCATCATTTCAGAAGGTATGAAGTATAAAAGTCTAGTTGCCAGCAGTGTGAACCTGTGATGTTGAGTACCCCAAAGTTTCATGATAGAAATGTATAGTATGGGACCCCATTTGGGCAATTTGCACAATTAGCATAAATTGCATTCATTAGCCTATGCAGACAATAGCTAAAAAACGGGTCCCCTAAAACTTTACAATCAACCCAAAATTAATAAAAATCAGCCCACCAGTAAAATAGTAATAGAGTAAAAATATGGCACGTTTCTGGTAAAAACTGCCATTTTTGATCCTGAAAAATTCAGAAATGGATTCAACATTCAAAATAGTCCAAATTGGCCAAGCCAGTTTTTAACTATAGTCACCATATGCTAATTATTGCAACTGATGCTAATTGTGCAAATTGCCCAACATGCAAGTTAGCATCCGGCAGCACTACGTGTTGGGGACCTGTTTTAAATGTATTTCATAAAACGTTGGGTCACTCAATCATTCCGGGTTCACTATAGGACTATGGCAGATAGACAATAAATGTGATGTTAAAGATACGTATGCCATATTGTCCGTACTTGTTGGTGCTGTTGATTTTCATCAAGTCGGCATACATATGTTGAGCCATCTCAATGCATTCTGGGAGTTCGTTGGAACATGCCACATCTATGGCCTTTATCTGGATTTGCCTTGGAATAAAGCACAATGTCTATGTTAGAAGTGTAGATGTAATACATGATGATAAATGTAATGTAATAAGTGTTTCAAAGAAGATAGAGATGCGATTTTGCTTTGATGAAAAATGCATTTGAATTCATTCAGCTTGATATGTCATTTATTAAGGAACATTATTACGTTTAATTACAAGCACATTTCGGAGATTAGCTGAATATTTATAAATGATCAGTAGGTGTTAAATGATGATGATCCTTTAATATCTTCACGGCTTTACACTTTTCATACCAGTACTGCATATATTTTGTTTTTTTACGAGTATTTTGTCATATTATACTGTACGTAGTTGTTAGGTATATATATTATATATACATTATTTGTTGGTTGTTTTTCTGACAATGTATTTTCTTTGACTGTGTTTATGCACGCACCGACTTAAGGCAATAATGCTGTTTCTGATTCTGATGAATAAGTCCTAATAAAAAAATACAATATATATAAAACACTGTATCTTGGTAGGTTGGTCTTTGCTAATGTGCTGGAGTTTCACACACACAAAGATATTTAAAATAATGATACCAAAGAACCATCCAATCAAGTCATTTTAGTTTGTATCCGAAACATGTGATAGTGTTATATGACGCCATAAAAACCCATCTGTCCTTACTGTGAGGAGTGATCAGCTGGGACTGTGGAATTGTCTGTGTCGTTTCTGAAAGAATTGTAAAGGCCTTCAACCTGATTACGGAGGTACATCTATAGGAAGAGACACGTTTACAGCAGAGTTACAGGAACACACACAACACTTTTATGACTCATCTCTTTATGTCCTGATGCGGGAAGGACATTGACACCAATCACATCTAGTCTGTTCAATCCTGCTTCTTCATGTAATACAGTCAATTCATTTAGTGATGTTAGAAAGAATTGTTCATTTGGATTATTACAAGTTAAAATAATGTTTTAATAGTACATGCCTGCATTGGGCCATACACCTCAGATCGGTCGAACATGCGGACAAAGTACCCGAGGTTGCTGATGGTTGCTGCCCAGGGTATTAGCTCCGTCTCATTCCGAATGAAGCGCGTTAAATTTAACGCCAGAGTCACGTTGACAAGTTTGGCCCTGAGGAAAACAGAGATAACATTTGTAGGAAGAGGCAGACATTAGCTTGCCCTTATTTAAAAAAACAAAACAGGTTTGATCAGAACACACTTGGATTTGTAGCAGTGTGGTTTATCTGAATCCAAGTTATTACCTTGCCAAGTTAAATGCATCGTCAACAAGCTGCCCTCTGTTCATCAGTGGGATCCGCTGGAAGAAGAGCAACATTAGGGGCAGTTACATTTTTAGTTTATAAAGACTCCAAGTATGTAGACATCTGAAATCAAGGATATTACTATAAATGTGAAAATTCTGCATTAGATCAGGAAACAATAACTTTTTACTATTTTAAAAGTTCGATATAAAGCCTTCATTTCTTTAAATGTAAGCTATGCTCCTGTATTAGGAGTTCTGTCTAAAGATGCTTACCAATAGAGTGGTACAGTGATGGTGCATCGCTTTACAAAAAGCAATGATTTCCCCAGTGGCACACAAGTTTTGGAAACGTACACGCTTTGTTTTGCAGGTTAATGTCCAACTATTTACACCAGTTTGTGACTTTTGAAGCTTAAATGCAATCGCCAGAAGTAAAAAGCAAATGTGGGGCTCCAAATGACCTACATCACATCCCATGACTTCACGTCACCACCGCTAAGCTAAAGTCAGTCAGTTCATCCAGACTGTTATAAACTGATAAATTGCCATGACATTTTGTAGACATTCATGTTCCCCAGAGGATGATTCATATTGATTGTATTGATGCCTTAATGTTCCATCAAGACCATCAATATTTTTCACTTATTCAGCAAAATATCTTAACATCTAACAGATGAATTGGCACAGATTTGGGTACAGATATTCATGTTCCAAACAGGATGTAATGTAATAACTTTAGCTATGATATACAAATGCACAAACCCTAATCTGATGACATTGAACTCACTGGTATTGCTAGATAGAGAGTCTGGGGATCTACAAAATCATTTGAATGTATCCTCTGGGAACCATGAATGTCCCAGTGTGCTGGACCTCATGGTTTGGCTCAGTACTCACACGTGGGTCTTTCTGCAACTGAGTGATGAGGCGATCCCAGTTCTCTGGGTTGTAATTGACTCTGTAGTATCCAGTACAGTTGACGTTTGCCAGAATCCACTCTCCTTTAGTTGCAACAAATTCATCTTTCATTGCTGTTCAAAAAGCAATAACATAAAAGATCAATGGAACAGTATGAATACACATTAAAAACGATATGAAAAGTTATCTTGTGTATAAGGTCATCTTTCTCGGTCTCATCAAACTTTTACTGGATTTTACCCAATCAAGGACCATCACATAGATGATGTCTAAAGGTCCAAATAATTATTTATATTTAAAAGTTATTTTATATTTTCTGGGCCTGATGAAATACAAAAGATCTAATGTAATGGTTGTTTGTCCAAAATGCAAACAAAGTGTTAAAAATTGGGTTTCAGGAGAAAGGCTCTGTTTTACATCCTGTTACCTGACTCGCCGGGTTTCAACCAGATTAGACGAAACAAAGTTGTATATTTCATGGCTCTGATCGGGACGTGCCACGAAAGACTAAATGGACAGAAAACAAAAGACAAAAACAATTAGGATGCTCATAGTCGAGGAAAGGGTTCTTCAGTGTCTAGCTATGAAGAATTGAAAGGCAACTTAGAAAGAAGCTTTTTAAGATGACCTGTAAAAGGGTGCATGAAATCAAATCTCCTGTACAATAACCAGTTCTCTGCACTTCCAACATGCAAGAGTCCAGAGCTGTTCTGAGTATGGCCAATGCAATTTAAGAATGTGTCAGCAGGCAGTGTTATTGAACACTGCAGTCTGTTGCAGTGATTTCATGCAGGCATGGCAGACAAAAGTGATTGCTAAATAAATAACTGCATTTTGCCAACCAAAACAGCCACACACCTGAGTCTGAATGACAATTCTTCTGAGAGGGAGTAAAACATTTTTGAGTGAAGTCACTTGAAGACAAATTCATGAACTTTGGCATTTGAAAGATAGTAAATGTAAAATATTTTCTCAATTTTTGTCCAAATGGGCACTGACCACATTACTACATTTATTCACATTTTCCACCAAGAGTTTGCAAGATTCAAGTAAACAAGCAAACGAATGATAACACCATCTTAACTAGCGGGATTCCTTTGCACTGGTGTTGGATGTTGACAGAAATCCAATGTATCTAATCCATATTAGAAATATGTTATATGACATTATTTTGGCCTAAAAATAGTTATTTATTTCATTGACTTAAAAAAAAAGTTTGTGCATGTCAATGGTCTGCAAAGGTTAAAATCCCTATGTTCCCCACAGAGGGAGTTTCTCCCCCACACACTCTAAAGAATGAATGCTTAAAGGTGGGGTAGGTAAGTTTCAGAAACCGGCTCGAGATACACTTGTTGTTATATTCCATGGAATGCTCTTAACATCCCGATAGCAATGAATATCTTAAGTGCTTTGACAAAAAATCCATTAAAAAATGTCATCTGTGGAAGCCGTAATACTGTAAAAAGAACGACCAATCCGATTAGCCGGCCCGGCTAAACGGATTGGATTGCCGCCCTGTCTGTCAGCCTTCCATCTCGTGCACGCACAAATGTATCTCGTGCCCTCATTGGGCGTGCATTGCGCGTTCATGTGTGTTGGAGGAGGTGCTCTGTAAGGAAGTCTGAAGGAAGGGGCGGATTCTTTTCGGCTGTGTACTTTCAAATTTTAGTGCACTCGAGCCGGTTTCTGAAACTTACCTACCCCACCTTTAAGATGTTAATTTATTTGATTGAAAATATTAACTGATTCTTACTCAATATTCATTTATTTTGATAAGAATTTTGAAATGAACTGTATTGTTATGAGTATTATAAGAGCTTTGACCTAAATGGGTACACATTTGGCGCATACCTAGATACTGCTGAGTCATTGAACAGGAAGTGCTTCTGGAAGGCTTCTCCACTGGTAGTGTTGATGGTGATAACAGGGTAGCCGATTTGTTTAGTCCAGCTGTTCATCACCTCGGCAATATTCCTTTCGCCTGTACTCTCGTCATCTGCCTGCAACATTTATTATATGACTCATCAATGATTACTTACCAAACATTTGCATGTGGAAATACCTGATTTAATCCAACACTTTACCTTTTGTATGTATTCCCAGAGGATGTTCTGGTCTGTGTTTTTATACTTCCAGTCTGAGAGGTACCTCTAAAACAGAAACATCGAGAGATCCAGATAGAAGTTACAGTTACGTTTAAAAAGTATTATTTTCATTTTCCAAATCGCAGAAAAGACATTGCAACAGCAAAGATGTTGAAGATGATGTATGTCTACAATGTTGTAAAGTTCGTCTAACATTGTGGATTTTAAACTTGTTTCTTTGTCTTTTCACATTGCAATAAAAACCAACAACAACCAAAACCAGATGTTGGAATGTTAGACTTTAGACTAGAGCAACATAACACTTTGTCCAAATAACCTAAGCTAACTGACTTCATGACTCCAAACTCAAATAAACAATGTCAGTTAAAAAACCTGGAACATGCTAGTGCTAGTTAGCCACCATTGCTCTTAGAGCTGCTTTGGGTCTTCTCTGTACTGTGATAATTGTACCTTATCCCTTTTCCAGTATTGCACAAAACCTAGAAACTGAAACTCAAGCATGTTCTTGTGCTCATTAACGAGACAGTTTGACCCAATATCAACACTACAAGGGGTCTATGTGATTTTGAAGTTTTTATCATTTCAGTCCCCCATTTAAGGCATCGCATTTGATATTAGCTCTCCCACCCATGTTGTAAGCCATGTAATTGGACAAACTTTGGTATTACCAAAAGGATGCACAGTCCCAGAGGCAATTATAAAGACTACAGCTGTATTTCAGCCCAACTGAATGAGATTAAATGTAATTGCTTACTCCGATTGCTTTGTCGAAAACGGGCTGATCCACGAGGTCTGCCAGCATTATCAGCACAGCTGCCCCCTACAGAGTGAACACCAAATACATGTTACATGAACATACTGAAGAGACTGCTCACTGAGAAAAACAAATATATATCTTCCCTGTTTTTTCCCTGGGGATTCTGTATTTTTAGCAGTTACCTGATTGGCTCTTGGATCACTGTAGCCAGCCTGAATGCATTTCAAATGCCTCATGCCCACAAAGCATTTGATATCATTTCCTATGATTCTGGTGAAACACTGCAGTAGCAAAGCAGTGTAATGTACGTCTGAACAGATGCAAAGTCCTGGGGCTCAGCGCAAATTCAACAAACTCATGACAAAAGCATCTGTATAGTAATGAGTCATAATGAAACTTGATTCAACTAAACGGACACGTTTCATTTGATTAAATTATATGAAATCTTTTTTTGAGGTAACTCAGCAAAAAAACAGACAACTATTGTTTTCTCAAGTGAATGCATTACACTTCCTAATAGGACGTACCCACATTGACGTCACAGAGGTTCGGTCCTCGGACTGTTTTCGGTGATGTATTTAATACAAGTTGTGAGATAATTGCCTAAAAAGTGTATTCATACATTTTCTTTACATTTTTTTTATTTTAAAATTGCCAACATTCATTTTCAGAAATGCTGTGATCATGTCAGCCTCTTCTGAATGTCCACATTAATCAGTCTGAATCTCATTCAAAGATCATTTAAGCTCCTGCACTGATTTTATATAAAATCGTAGTTTAATGTTTACCACTCCAAATACAGTATCTTAAAAAGCACTTATCTACATCTGAGAAATCTAAAGTATTATGCCCCCCCATGAGCTTGATTTTGGACCGTGGTATTAATAAAATCCTTCGCCATGCTTCCTCATGCAGGGTGTATTCATTGAAATGTGCTGCCTCTACCTTACAGTAGGTTATAGTATCAAACATCTCCATGATCTGAGAAGTGGTCTGCACATCTCCCTGAGACGTGCTGAGGGGACGAGAGGAGGCCAGAGCGTCCGCCTCAAACGCAGAGTGGAGGTTGTTCAGGATATGTATATCTTTCTGGGGAAACAAGAAGAGACATGAAGAGATGGAGATGTGTTTGTCTTGTCTTATTGCATCAAGCTTTTCATGACCCTCATAATGAAGAGGTGAAGGTTTGGTCTGAACTTACTAATTTAAAGTCAGGCTCAACAGCGTCCACTGCATAGAATGTCATGTAGCTGGCAAAGCCCTCGTTCAGCCAAATATCATTCCACCATTTCATCGTCACCAGATTGCCAAACCACTGTCGACAAAAAAAAGCAATGCTAATGTCATTTTGGCATTTCTCCTTTTGACTTTTAATTATTGACAAAAGTGGATGAAGAGCAGTTTCCTCTAACCTGGTGTGCCAGTTCATGTGCAATGAGGTGAGTGATGTGTTCCTTGTCAAGCAGAGAGGACACCCCCTCCTCATAGAGCACCTCCCCCTCCTGGTACGTGATCAGCCCCAAGTTTTCCATTCCGTCGGAAATTAAGTCTGGCAGTGCAATCTGATCTGTAGGAGTCACAGAAATATGTACAAGTAATGAGATGATACATACATTTGGAATGTGTGGTTCCTTACTGGCTGTGCCCACATGAGCCAGAATATATTGTGTAAGCTTTTGTTTTTATCAGAATTGTTTAGATACCAACATTCTTTCCAAAACAAAAAAGTATCTACAACAAACATAAGTCATTTACAAACAATTAAGAAATAAATCAGCATGATCTGTTAAAAGACTGAGCACCTATCTATAAAGGCACTGAAATACATTGAGCCAGTAGTTACTTGATCATTTTTGAATTGTTTTCTTGAGAATAAAAGTTTGGATGTTGTTGGAGGATGATGATCGCCTGACGAGTGACGGAGGGTGGAACTGAGGCTGAGGATCTTTGACAGCTTTCCCATGATCTTCCAACCGATTCTTAGCACTCTTCCTTCATCCTTCTACCTGTTGACCTCTTCCTCCTTTCATCCCTTACTCCTCTCATCCCTTCATCCTATACCACAAGTCTTCCCCCTTTCACACATTGACCCCTTCATCCCTCACACCCCTCATCCTAACCCACATCCCTTCATCCCCCACACCCTTATCCTAACCCACATCCCTTCACACATTGAACTATTACTTCCTTGATCCCTACATCCCTCACACCCCTCATCCCTTCATCCCACCCCTTCCTATATATATCCAATACTATATGCATACTTTTCCAAATGTGTCATTCTAGGTACTGTCTTGGGGCCCATAATCGGCTCAAACTGAAATTCCCAGAGACAGAACCCCCACCAAGAGTCTCCCACTGCCCTGACTTCAGTACGTCCCCCCAAACCAGCCTCACAAACAACATTTGTCCCCTTCAAGCCCCCTCCCCTCCCCTACATCCATCCATTTATTCTAACCCTAACCCTCCTTCATTAAATCTTTAAATGACAAAATGTTGGGGTACGGTCCTTGCTAGTGAACCCTATAGCAAATAAGTCAAAAATGAGTAGCCTGTACTGTATACTAATATCAAATGATAAAGAAGTAGGATATAGTCTACATGTTCTTCCTGTGTAGACAAAGACTTACCTAGCTTTCTCTGTGGGTATATAATGCCAAAACGGCGCTCAAAGTAGTCGAGAATCCTTCCCGTGATATCCGCTGCATATTTAGCGTGTCCTGCTGCAGTGGCCTTAGGACGAGCGTACGTCTGTATGGGAAAACATAAAGCACGCAAGATACATATTTTGGTTTTGTACTTTTACATATTTATAATTTGAAATAATCCCAAAAGTGTGGGAGTGACATGTAAAAAACTAAGTTATTAAACCTGAAAATTATTCAGTTATTGGATACGGTTTGGTTTCATGGTTCCGAATGTTATTTTGATATGACATAACATTTTGACTCTATTCAGTACCTATGCTTAGACTGTAGTCAGTACCTATGGTTATTTGAATGAACATAATTCCCATCATATATCCAAAACCTGATCTGAAAGTGATAGAAGCAAACATCAACTCCATACCGAGAATAAAGACATATCATTTATCCTACGTCTACAGTACACATACATTGATTTTCACACGGTGATGTGAGGAGGGGGTTGGAGTAAACTCTGAAACCGTGAAGGCAAACAGGTACGTTGACATCAACGGTGTTGGCTGAAAAGCTGTGGCTTTCCAATCGTCGTCTATAATATTGGCACCGTCTGAGAGAGTAGAAACAAAGAAGACCAGTATTAGGACGATGTATTGGATCATTTTCAAGAGAAATTAAGTACTATATTATGTTTTTGGATTGTGACTGCTTGTTTTTTTACCTGTATTTATGCCATTCGCTAGAGCCGTCGTGATTCTCCTGTGGATTATTGTCACCTCGAACTCTGCCTTAAAATCTGGCTCATCGAAACAAGGGAACACTCTCCTGGCAAATGTTGGTTCCATACTGGTGGCAATAAGGAATCTACAATTACAGAGAAAGACAGTATATTGTCAGGTAAACACTGCAGGAACACTGGATACAGATAATGAGGATACAATTTGGGTATCATAAAAACCCATAATAGATTCCGTTGAATTTTAACTCCATCAAATGTGCGTATTTTAAATACTGGTGGATACAGCGTCATTGTGTGTCCTCTACGTTTGTAACAGGTAGATTGTAAGTTTGGCTCAAACCATGACAAAAGTTGATTTATTGAGAATAACTAACACATATCTGCCAATGCCAAATGCAATATCTCTAGTGGTGAGTGGAGATTGTCAAGTGATAGTGCATTGTAGCAGCACATTGAGGTGGTCTTAAAACTTTGAAGGGTGAAATATGACTCTGGCAACTGAGCAACATCCGAGTGCCCAGTACCTATTATTTGGTTTCTAATTTTAAGCATAATAGCAAGATGAAGACAAAAATGAGTTGGGGTATCCTATTTCCTTAAAGAGAACACTATAAATAAAGGGACAAACGTGTGTGTGTGTGTGTGTGTGTGTGTGTGTGCCACCATACACTACTAGCACATTATTCATGATAAATGAATCAGTTACAGAAAGTAGACAGAAAACAGCTTCATCAAAAATACATCAGTTTATTCCGTCTGTCTGAAACCACATATACTGTATATTGGTATTGTACTTAAGTACAAGTTTGGGGTACTTTTACTTCACCCGAGTATTTTTATTTTATTCTACTTGTTACTTCTACTCCTCTACATTTTAGAAGCCATAATGAACTTTGATACATTTATTTGACAGCCTTAGTTATTTTTTATTTGATAGATTCAGATGAATAGCTGACACTAAATATTGTTATTTTCCCTTTAGCAAAAGACCTCAGTAAATCCTCAACATCTAGATGTACTCAGATTTACTGACTCCAATCTGAAAAATCTAACTTTGAATTGTTCACAAAAAGATAGGAACATTAATGAGGAGCGTCACTTTGATTTGAATGATTATATAGATTGTGAGCACAGTGTTTCCTTCTCTCTGTTTTTTTTTATTGTATTATAAATATTATCATGAAAGTCAAGGTGTTACTCTACTGTGAAAGAGGATTAGAGTCTCATGTGAAACCATTTTGACGATCTGACCAAAACTTTTTTTTTTTTTTAAAGTTCTGAGAATTTAGACTTTTTTTCTCAGAACTTTTGGTCAGATCTCAATAACGTTCCACATGCGGCCCCAATCCTCTTCTGTACTATACTTTCCGTATTGTTTTACATATTATATTGCATATATATACTTAACATATTGCAGCCGACAACTACTGTATATACATTTGTTCTTACTTTGGATTTACTTTCTTATTTTATCTTTTTATAAGATTAGAGTATATTATTTGATCTTTCCGACAGAACAGTAAACAATGGAGTGATGATATTAGTATGGTCTCACTACATTCAGTTGAGAATGTTTTAACCTGCCAACGTTAAAGAAAACCTCCAAAATAAAAGCAAAATGATTCTTTAACCTCTTTAATGTCTCAATGTTTCTACATGTGTTGAATATAGGAGACGGCTCGAGGAGCTACTGTAAGTAATGTCAGAACAAATTATGTTTCAGTGTTGAGTAATTAGAAAATAAAAATGGATTCATTCATCAATAAGCAATGAGTTCATGATTACATTTTAGGGAAACTAAGTAAAAGAAACTGACAGACAGAAGGTCATAGACTAACACATTCGGTCTAATAACTAAATCAGAAGGAAGGGGAATTTACAACACAGAACTTTAGTGGGTGTCAGATAAAAAGGCTTAATGCTGAACATACGTTCTTTCAGTTTCTGTGAAACCGTAGCAATATAACTGAGGATTAGGGCTCTATTTAGTTCAAATCTGAATTTCTCAAAATTCTAAGAAAAAAAAGTTCTCTCTCAGAATTCAGATTTTCCTTCTCGGAATTTTGACATCTCAGAATAAAAAATAAATAACTCTTGGTCAGATCTCCATTTTTTTAAATTTACATTTGGCCCTAATCCATTTCCATATATGTGTACATCTTGAAGTCACAAAGTAAAACATAAGGGAATTTTAACATTTGGTGAATAACGGTGTCCTTGCTAAAACTTGGCAGGATGTTTTCTTAAGCAAAAAGTATCGTCAGAATAGTTTGACGCCATTATCACTAATTCTTCACACATACACTCAAAAGCTTTAAACTCTTTGTACCCACCTGTCTGTATCTGTATCATCTTCATGAGCTGGGATACCTTCTTCATATGCGCTACCATACAACCCCTCGAGACCACCTGATACTTCTCCTCTGAAAGACAGAAACAAACTGTAGTTCCCCCCCGTCTTCAAAGCATAATCCAACTCGATCTCCAGGAAGTTAGTTTGGTCTTGGTGGTTTTCCATTCTGGTAACACGGATCCCTTCATCTGTGTCTGTGCTCGACACCACTGGACCATAAACATCCAGGTTCTGGCTGTGGAGGTAGATGGAGCTTGTGCCCTGGACACAATGAAAGTAAACGGTGGTGTTTCCAGTGAAGAGCGCCGTCTGGTTGGGGCTGGTGACGTTAACCTCCTCGAGGATCTGGCTGTAGAAGCGAGGCCAGAGCAAGACCTTGTATCTCTCCGGGACGAGGTTCTTCGGAAGCCGCGTGACGGGCGGTAGACCCGTGGTGGTGGAAGGGAAAGTCGGCCGGGGCGTGGGATTCATTGTAGCGATCTGGGTTTTGTACAAAATGACCATGGTGACAATGCCTGCTATAGCGGAGGCCGTCAGGACGACGAAGGCGGCGGCGAAAGCCTTGCTGACCGAGGGGTTCTTAGACATGGTGGTCTGTCCTGAAGGTGCTTGTCAGGAAGAGATGAGTTCGATGAGTCCCTCAGCTTGAGTGCCTCTGCAGTGATCTGTTCACAAACAAGTAACCTCCTTCCCGTGAACTGGGCTTGGCCTTAGCAATTACGACTGTACTTAGATTAAGCATTAACTCGGGCATTGCCAAAGGAGCAAAGAGTAAGCGTCCGTGTGAAGAGGGCGATGTTCACTGGCCGTGTTGTAAATAATCGGTTAGATTGTGCTCTCAAACATCTGGAGGTGGTTTCTGAGATCTTGCCATTAATAAAGGGGTTAGGTAAACTTCAGGAAACACTTTCCCTAAACTGCACTCATCACACATTCCCTCACTACCATCACAATAATCACACGCCTGAGTGGAAACAATGAGCTGCTGGTGAGTAATAGTCCTTCAGAAGAAGCTTGGAATGGAAGGTCTCCAGAGTGCAGTGATGGCTCCTGGTAAAAACCGCAATGCACGGGGGCCAGATGATGGCTTCAATAAAGATACATGTCAACAGAGATCCTGACCTAGAAACGAGAAGTATGTGAAGGGAGGATAGGAGGAGGGGTTGGATAAGAGAGGAGAGAAAAGAGGAGGAGGATCTAAAGTGTTTTAGGAAATGAGCTAGAAATGCCCAACCTCAGGAGATCACGACCACCGCCTCCACAACACCCACATAATTACTCACCTCAGGAGAGGAACCATCAGAGGCTAAATGGCAACAGTGCAGGAGAAAATGGGCCCTGAGCAGGGTGCGCCGACGGATGTTTGTACTGAGAACAGATGTTCCTGTTGCAGGTTCTAGGAAATCAAACCAACCTGACCATATTGAAAGAGTAAGATGTCTCAAACAAGAGATACCATGGCAGAGACTGGAGCCAGGTGGAGGGGCATTACCTTTGTTTAGCGGCCGTAATGATGTGCATTAAATGTGACCCAAGAATAAATTCACCAGAACAAGGAAATGTTGTCTTCCAGGATATTCAATGCATCACTTCTTATTCTGCGAAACGGCCCCAGATAATGCATGTGTCAGAATGTCAGGTTCTTCTACTCCCACATCATGTATTTGTTTGGCTCAGGAGGGATTTTCTTCTCAGAAACCAGGGGATCATTTCTGGGATCACAGCCATCATCTGTCAAGCTGTTAATGTTGCTTGTAAAATAAAAAATGGCGTGTGAATGAAGAGATTGAATACAGTTCTTTATGAGGAATCTTGTGAAATGTTCTACATTCAAAACGTTCATCATCTCAACCAAAACTCACATGTATGTACATCGAAATATTGTGACGAGCCTCAAGCACACACCTGCCACACGTACAACACACGAGCACAAGAACTGAAGTGAAAGGATTACAACTGTTACACAAGTGCATGTGTACACACACTGCTGTAACAAATCACCATCTTGGACAATAAGGACCTCTACTGTTTAGAATGTAAACTGCAAAATCACAGATTTCAGCTGGGGTTCAGGTTAAAAAAGGAATGGAACTTAAAACAGCACATACATTATTCCCTAGTTCTCTCTCACAATTTTGTCTTTTAGTTTATTTAAAAAAGGCAATTTTCACAACTCTAAGCAGCCATTACACACCATCTAGTCTCATGTATGGTACATGGACCATGCACACTTCAGGTAGAGCTGTAGTTCATGTTGAAAAAGTAACCCGGGCCAGTACAACACAGTGCATAGGGAGCAGAATCCAAATCCAAAATCGTCCAATCCATCGGAATTATTATTCAGCTCCGATTTTTCAAGTGATTTTATCATTTTTCGGCATGAGTCTAGACTTCTAGAAATGTCAGCAAGAAGAAGTCCTGGCTGAGAGGAAGAAAGGGTCCAAAGTGTGGCCTCAATTCACGAAGAAAGATGACAACACTTCCACTTGTAATATCTGTACAAAGCTCATTTTCAAGTAATAATAGTAGTTCAAACACCAGAAACATCTGTCCATACAACATGGGCTACAATCCCAGGAAGGGATTGATTTAACATAGTTAAATATAGCTTTGTTAAAACAGTGTAAAAGTTCAATTCATTAAGGAATTATCAAGAACCGGAATTCATTGTGTCATTTGTACCAATACAATTATATTAATTCTTGCCCGAGTGCAATTAGCATGAAACAATTTTGGAGATAATGGGCAATCTCAATAAAAGTCTTAGACTTGTTTTCGATTGTAACTTCCTGTTAAAGAATGAAAAATAAAAAAACTGCTGAATTATTTCGACGATCATTTTGTGTACTATGTGCAACCATGTACAGTGGCCAGCAGGTGCTAACGGGTGCTAACGGGTGCTAACGCGCTACAACAACCCACGACACTTCCATCAGGACAAACTCAATGCAGCTTCAGAACCGATGCAGATACAAAAACACAAATGTTCCAAAACACATGAAGAGACATATTCTCCAACCTGACAACACATGTCACTTTTTGGTGTCCCCTGGTTTCCGTTGTGTTTTTGAGCTTCTTGCAGAGTTTCGTGTTTCAAGCTGTTTTAGTAAACGCTGCGCATGTTTCTTCACATTGGGGAATGTTTTCGAAATGCTGCATGTGTTGTCAAGTTAGTGAAAATGTTTCTTCATTGCATTTGTTTCAGCACATTTGTCTTTTTATATTAGCATGGTTTCTCCTAATGGAAATGTTTTGCGTCATGTAGAGTGTTTGCGCCTTTCGGCCACCATAACCATGTCCATGTCACACCATGGGTGTTTCTCAATGTCGAGGAAAGCTGCTCCAGAGCCATTCTTGCCTCGCTTCTGAAGGAACTCACTCGGAGGTACATGTGCTACCAAGCAAGCCTCCTCGACATTGAGAAACACCCCATGTTATTTCAAAAGGGGTTAAACGGTTTATTGCTAATGGTCACTGCTGCAATGTGCTACCAGAGCCAGCTGTCTAGATGCTGCACACAGTAACAGGACTGTTCCAGGATTGCCGACATCTCCCCGTATCTCTCCTCTCTCCATGTGGGGAGGAGCCTCTCATTGTTGAGGGCCTGGAGCCGGGGCGTGCCCTCCCGCAGGACGTGGTACAGACAGGGCCAGCGGCTCTGGATCCTCAGCCGGGTCCTCCGGTCTAGGGTGATGCCTCGCACAATCTTCTTGGCTCGAAGCTCGCGCAGGGCGGGAAGCTTCAGGCAGGAGAACACCAAGCCTCGGCTGGGGGACACGTCCAGGAACTCTAGAGACTGAGACTCCAGAGTGTACGAGATGCCCAGGTTCCTCAGCGGCACCAGGATCTGTAGAGTCAGGGACTTCAGGTTAGGCAGGGACTTGGTAAGGTGCTGCAGCGTCGACGGGGTCACTCCTTTGAAGACCCAGAAGTACTTGAGCTCGAGGACTCGAAGCTGCTGGAAGTTGGTGAGCAGCGACATGGACACGTCCGACCAGTCGAAGTGTAAACGCATCTTTGAGATGCGGGGGCAGCTGTGGGTGAGTTTGGTCAGCAGCTCCTGGAAACTGGTCACCTGCCAAGTCAGACAAACAGGTCAACCATGGGTTAGTTTCCTGGAGAAGTGTCTGTATATTGGTATGACCAAGAACACATAACTAGCAGTTCCAACATTTCTGACAAGCTGCCTTCTTGAAGACAAAAAAACATCCACATTATCACTCCCAAAAATTATATTTATAGAATTTATAAAATCATCTGGTGGAAAGGGTAAGTAAAAAAATGAGCAAAGTTGCCAGATTTCTTTAGTGGTTTTGTAATATGATGGAGTCTAGGATACTGTTTAACGATTGGCCTGTTGAGCGTGTTGTTTGAAATGCAAAATGGATACCGTGTATTTTTGACTGCAAACGAAATCTCCCTACAAGTACAACTAAATAAGCTAAACCTGAATCAAACCAAGCCCATCTTGGCAGCAGACATTTGAACTCCTAGCAGTCCCAGCAGAAAAGTGGAACCTATATCATTAACAATGGCCGCAGCAGGTAATTACACCATTAGTTACAGAGTGTTTGACAAGTCAAACGTCTGCAGTGAAAAACCTCCGTCCACATTTAGTTTCATGTCATAGTTTTGCCATGGTTACGCACACCTCCTCTGCAGAGCTTTGCATATTCTCCATAGTTACTTATTTCAAGGACCCTACAAAAATGTGCATATATTGCACTCACACTACCTCACTGCATCTAAATGTTATATTTAGAAAACTGTAACGCACACTTTTACATAGTATATATGTTTATATTTGTGTATTATGAGATTGGTCTAAAACTGAATGTCCCCCTAGGGGGATCAGTGAAGTGTATCCTTCATTGCATTCTTTCTTAGATACACGGCTCTGGAAAAACAACAATTTATAGGTATGAGTTTGAGTAAAATGAACATAAAAGGAATTCAACAGACACTGGAATGGAATGGCTGCCATACATCTAGAGATTGAGATGTATGTGTATATATTTACTTATTTCTATTTTTGCCTTAATTGTAATCTGTTTCATTGTATTTAAAGCTCATGTGAAATGCCTTGTTAATATGCTGCTTTCAATTTGGGATCAATAAAGCATATCTGATCCTCTCTGGATCTTTGGGGTTCACTATTTTACAAAAGCCTTCTGCAGTTTGTCTGGAAACAGAATGAGACTTGTGCAACAGTGGAAAGTGCATGGAGGAAATATCACATCATTATAGAATCATATTATTATATAGTATTAGAATAGTTCGACATTTGCTTGTTTTTTTCAACAACTTTCTTCATCTAACTCTGTTTATGTATGCACCATTATACACAAAAGCCAATTCAATGTATGTGTGAACCAGGCATTAAACATAAGCATTTTCATTTTCTCTACTAAGAAGCCTTTCCACTCATAATGGCATTCAAGCATATCAAAAACGTGTAAGATGACTTATTACTCATTATTGTTCAATTGTTAAATCTATAAATTGTGTGACACTAATCTGTTTATATATATAAAAATATGATTACCTCTTAAAGTGTGTATAAAGTATGTACAGTATATGTGTCTATATATATATATATTTAAGTGGGTGTGGGTGTGTATGTATGTAACTATACAAATATATTTGTATATGTTCTAATTCTTGGGGACGGTGAAAAACGGCATTTCGATCTCCCTGTTTGTATCACACACACGGAGAAATTGATAACAAAGTTGACTTTACTGTCTTTTTGGTCATATTCATTGCATTGGGCAGGCTGATCAGCAACAATACTACGAGGCTAAAGCACCAGCCATTGTTTTAAGTAAATCAGTTGAATTCATCAGTGAGCGCAGTTACCTGGTCCATCTTGGTGATGCTGTCCTGGTGCGAGCTGGAGCTGGAGTGCACCCTGAGGTCCAACGGCTCCAGCAGGGTGAAGGTCCAGTTCAGGTCCAGGTGGCTGAGGTCTCTGCAGTGCACGTGGTCCAGCAGGTGGCCCAGCAGCTCGCTCCACTTGTTGCAGCGGTCCCCCAGGTCGAAGCTGGCCTTCAGCGTGAGCAGGCTGGCCCTGCGGGACACCAGGTGGTGGGTGTAGTGGTGGACCCAGGCTTTCCAGCGCTCAAACTCCCGGTTCGAAACCAGCAGCCCCTCCTGGCCCATGTGGAAGACCCCGCGCCGGGAGTAGTCGGCCACCCGCCACAGCTTCCAGGAGCGGACCAGGCAGCTCCAGCTGAGGCAGACAAGAGCACAGCTGCATTTATCCACCTCGTTCAGAAAGGACAGGACGTGCAGCTGGCACTCCACCGGCAGCAAGTTGAAGGGGAAGTAGTCGTCCGGTGCTTTCCTCCGGCTGCTGACAGGGACCAGGGTTCTTTTTCGTGGCGACATGATGACAGATGATGATATAATGTTGGTGGTCATTGGTGGAGGTCAGACTTTCCACCGGGTGGTCTTGTGGTCTGGCTTTGCCATAAATATATCCAGCCTTCGGGAAGAGATAAAGAAAGAAAGTATAAACAGACAAGAAGTCATTTAAGATGCTGCAAATAAATAATACCCACTGGTTTGTGACATGGTCTGTCTTAAAGCAGGCAATACAACATGCCTGAGGTCATAACAATCAGAATCTACCTCCTTTTCTATTCCTTATGTGAGGGTCACATAGTATTTGTTTAACAGTTCAATCCTTTTAATTGACCCAAAAATAGCAAGCAAACCAACATACAATAAATAAGTAGATAAACCATAACAAAAGAAAACTGTAATAAAAAATAAATAAGTACAAATTAAATTCTAAAAACTGTTTTATTTATTAAGAATTAACCTCATTTGTATCCACCACAGCGCAGTGTATGCCTGGGAATTTGGAACACTATACCAGAACTCACAATATAATATCAGTTTCATTAACATGTAAAGCAAACACAGATCTGTAGACAATAAGGAGTGGTATTTAAACTCCACCTGGTGTCATGGCTTCAGTTCAACGTACAGGATCAATATCACTGAGTATGTGGCTGGAGATGCAATCATACAATATGTGATCTCTTTAAGCAGGGGTCCTTTATGCAAACACTGAGGGGAACATTGTAGTCTCTATTTACTTACAAATACAACTGTACACTTTAGTAAAAGTCGTTGTGGATAGTAACAAAGTACATTTACTCAAGTACTGTACTTAAGTAACATTTTGAGGTAGTTTACCCACGCATTTTCAGGGTATGAGCCAAATAAACTTCTACTTCACTACATGTTGGATACCTTTTTACTCCATGCATTTATTTAACAGCTTTAGTTACCAATTACTTTTCAGATTTAGATTTGACCCAATACTAAACATAAATCAACTATTTAATCAAAGTTGTCATTATGTGATATCCAACAGTAATTAAAAGTAGCTCAACCTTTACCAGCTGGGATGAAGATAATCATAATCCTAAATAAATCTAAATATATGATTCTGAAATAGGCCATTACGTGTTACCAGTACTTTTGATGCTGATTCTTTTGTACTTTTACTTAAGTAAGATGTTAAATGCAGGACTTTTACTTGCAACAAAGTATTTGAATAATCTAGTATTGCTACTTTTACCCAAGTTAACATTCTGAGTACTTCTTCCACCACTGAGTAAACGTATAGTTACTGTTATTAACACATGCTCACTTTAATCACGGTATTACACTCAATTGTAATTAATAAACACTACAGTGACATATCAGTGTGCAACATGACTCGAGCCCTCCTGCTTTGGGGACAGTTACCTTTCAGCTTCTGTCCAAACAACATCCCATAATAGACTCTCAGCCCCTCACCATCTACACTGCCGTCATCCAGACAACAGTGGAGTATTTACCTCTCAGTGGACCGGGCTCCCAAAAGACATCCTGTTAGAAGCTAACGATAGCAGATCAGAGACAAAGGAATATGAGATAAAACATCAATAAAACGCGTTGTTGCTGTTTTCTATAGAGTGTGCTTTGTATGCGAACGTATTAGTAAGTGTAAATCAACGACTACACATCTCACTTTTTAAAAATCTGAGAATAACGGTGTTCAGTAACTAGGCCAGCTAGTTAGCTGCTAACAGCTGTTGTTGTTTTTGTTGTGGCTCGTGATGGCGTCATCAAAATGCGCGGTGCTCGTTTTCAACTACGGCGTTGCACAGTCGGGCGGAGTTTAATAATACATTACATAATATTAAAGCCGTACACTGTCAGGTTTGGAAAAGGTAGGCCCATTCCCAAACCGCTCCCTACACCCTACCCCTCCGTTTGCGCGTTCACGCGGAGGGTCCGCCATATTGAGGGCTGTTCCAAACCAACGAGTGTGGAGCGGTGTGGAGGGGGAGTGGGCTATCAAGCCCTCAAACAGCGAGTCTGCATCGGTGCTGACTTGAGACCGGTCTCTACCTGACCGGAGTCACGCTGTGTGTGTCCGTCAGGAAACACGCTGTTTACAAGTAGTTCCAGCAAACATCCACTGATAAACTGCGATGTTAACAACCTCATGATAACCTCATATGTTTTTAACTTTAGGATCATACCTGTGTTTAGTCTAGAAAAAGGTAAATGTGTGCATTTTATTATAAAGTTGTGTATATTTACAGACTGTTGCGAAAACTAAGAAGCTTATAAACATCAGGTTTAAAACTAAAAGAGCTTTACAAAAAAAACACAATGAAAAACGTTTGGAGTTTTATTTGAGTTATTCATTTAAACTTTTTGTCTAAGAGATGCTGATTTGAAACCGTTGTTACATACAGTTACGGCATTTCCTGTTTCTGCCGGAGAGAGGGGAGGCCGTCCCAAAGCTTGCTGCTGTATTTACTCCCTCCATCTGACAGGAGGGAGCCTCGTTGAGCTGCGAGTGTGGCTACAGACGGAGTTCACTCCATCACGGAGGGGTAGGGTCGAGGGAGTGGTTTGGGATTGGGCCTTATTCATGTTCTTAGGCTTGTTTGAGACAAGCGAGACCTGCGCAATTTCGATCAACGTCTTGCTAGTGCGTTGCATGATGGTTAGTCATTTTGTCCGACTTGCTCTGGAGGCCCGCCTACATGAGACGTTGAAATCTCGCGGAACAAAGACGCCCGCAGCCTTGAGAGCGAGGCGCGGCGAGGCGGCGCAGTTCCTCTCCACGGGCTGCGGAAGCGAAATGCTTGATGGAAACGACTCGCTGGTATCTCGAGCTGAGCGCTCATTGGTGGTTTTTACCACGTGCTGGTGATGAAACTCTCCAATTGGCTCGGCAAAAGTTTGTTGTTGTTTTGTGTCAGTTTTACGTCGCCCCCTCTATTAAAATGTTTCATAATTGTTCCACAATGTTTATCATCATGAAATTAATATCTATGTTATACTATACTTGCACTGCTTACCGTTTTCATACTTTATATATCATATTCATACACACTGTTCATATTGCTCACAGGCTGCTGTGTATATGCATGCCCCTCACTGTTTATTCATCATTCAATTCATTCTATATTTTATTCTGTAGATTGTGTACATTACTTTTCACTTTACTGCTTGTTGCACCTGGTTAGAAGCTAAACTGCATTTCGTTGTCTCAGTACATTAGTAATATGTGCAATAACAATAAAGTTGAATCTAATCTGGAGCAGGAACAAATGTATTTACTTAGTACATATCTGACATTAACGATTAAACACATGTGTGCATTCTTTATAAATGCAAACCGAGTCAAGCCGACTCCGGAGGTGGCGGTATGCACCTTAAAGTTGTTTGCAATCCGCCAAAAAACGGAGAGAAGAAGAAGAAGAAGAAGAAGAAGAAGAAGAAGAAGAAGAAGAAGAAGAAGAAGAAGAAGAAGAAGAAGAAGAAGAAGAAGAAGAAGAAGAAGAAGAAGAATAAGAAGAAGAAGAAGAAGAAGAAGAAGAAGAAGAAGAAGAAGAAGAAGAAGAAGAAGAAGAAGAAGAAGAAGAAGAAGAAGAAGAAGAAGAAGAAGAAGAAGAAGAAGACTCCGAGCTGTCCGACTTCAGGCGAGCTTGTTGAGACCTCCCCCGGCTGCGATCGGCTATTCTCGTCTACTTTCGAGGCGAGCCGCAACGCGTCTCAAACAAGCCTACTGTAAAAACACTCAATTTCAAGTATAAGTACCGCATAGAGAACGGTACATTAGTAAGTGTTTAATTACGAGTAGGATCAGTCTATGAGTAGGATGTAGGCCTACTGCAATGTACAAAAGTAAGAGTAAAAGTACTCCTTGAAGAAAAAACTCTAAACATAATGAATACTTTTAAATAATTTTAGAGCAAAAGCAGCACATCTTCACATTTGAGAAACTGAAAATATCAAATATCTTTAAACACAAAACTTGCAATTTCATGCCAATTAATTATTTGTTAACCCACTCATTGTTTCAGTTACTTAAATATTGTTGTAATCATATTTAAAGTATTGCGTGTCAAAATTTGTATTTATAAAGTAACTAGTAGGTTAAATAAATCTGTAAAATAAATATAGTGGATTTAAAGGTACAAAATGTGCCTCAAAATGTAGAAGAGTAGAAGTACAAAGTTGAATAAAACGAAAATAATCGGATAAAGTACAAGTACCGCAAACGTGTACTTAATTACAGTAGCCTACTTAGTTACTTTCCACCCCAGTAAACTGTTGAAGAGTAAAACGGTAGTTTTTGCCTGGATAGGCCTACCAAGAAAGAGCATTTTACTAATGAATTACTACAACATTTTAAGGAAGACCATATTTATATTTTGTGTTTAAAGATGTTAGGCGTATGGAGCTTGATCTGGGCCAAAAGTTTTGATCATTCTAAAAAATAAAATGTATTTGAAAGTTCAAGTTTTGATCCTGAACTTTGAAAAATACAGTAATGAAATAAAAAATAAAATAATTGCTATGCTGAATCAAAAATAATATTCAACCTGAAAACACTTTTCAAATACTTATTTGTAGTCAAAGTTCAGGATCAAAACTTGAATTTCCATAGATTTTTTCAAATTTAGCAAAACCTTTGGCCCAGATTTAGCTCCATATAGGCGGAAATGGGGCAGACTGCGTCCTCTTTTGCTGTGAAACAGGTTGTGAGGAAAGCTTCTTTTCATGGTTTAAGGAAAGATTTAAGCTTTATAATTCATGTTTTTCACTATTTTTGGTATGTGACGGCTGTCGCCTCTCAGGTCCTGTTAATCCTGTTCTTATGTTACATAAGAACCAGCAAAAACATAAGTTATGTAAATGAGCTGTGTGGTTGCTTCAACGTCATTGGCTACCATCTCCTGGTTCCGCCTCCGAAGATACTGATTTGAGCCCGACGCGCTCCAATCCCCGTGCCATCCCAGCGCACACCTGCCAGAGATGACTCTACAAAGCCTGAGGACAGCTATCACTCGGGAGGCTCTGTTGCAATCAGACGCCTCACACATCTTGCTCCTGTGTGGACATTTCATATTTAAACTAGTAGATTGTGTTTGACTCTTCTGAACTGTGTTCAGTGTTGGTGTTTATTTATGTGTTTAGAGTAGCGTGTTGAGATATGTGTTTAAAGTGGCGTGTTTTGTTTCCCCCGTTAGCTGCATTTCCCTGCGGCCTCCTTTCCTTTAGTAGTGATTAGTAGTGGTTACAGGTGTGTAAATAGGCTAATTTCTAGAGTCCTCCTTCAGTTATTAGCAGGATACCTGCGCCCTTTTTTATAGATCCTCTGTTCAGTTTAGGCTACGTTGGCTCTTATTTGTTGTACACCCTTTTGTTATTCATTAAACCCTGTTATAATTATTACCTATTCCATTCTGATGTGTGTTGTTTTCCTCTACCCTAGAGGGGGAACGTAACAATGTACTTGACATTTCTTTGAAGCTCGTCCTTGCCTTTTTTTTGTATAAATTATTATTTGTTGTAGTTGTGATGCATTGTTCACCAGTAGATGGCATTATGCAAGGCTTGGTGAAACAGAATGGCTGCCTTGTGGTGTCATCCTGTTTACTGTTCTGGCATCCTGTTCTGTGGGGTAGCTTGACGTTTCATAGGGTACCGGGCGCTACAGTGGAATGTTCTACTGCAACACTCCCCACACGCACATACACAGTACACCCGCGACTGTTACAATGAAGGCTCGATAATCAGCTCACAGCATATAGTTTACCGTGTAAGCAGGGGTAAAGTCAGGGTTCGAGTTTTAAACTGAGCTCTATGGGGGTCTTTGAAACTAACGTGTGCGCACTGCGCACGCATGCACACACACACACACACACACACACACACACACACACACACACACACACACACACACACACACACCAGAGTTCCCGTTAGCCGGTAATTACCGGACTACGACCGGTAAAATATGCTGAAGACCGGTAAATCTAAATCTCTCCGGTCAAAGTGTCCGTTCAAAATAATTTCCGTTTAGCGCAATACCACATCAGTTGCGCAACTTGCGCCATTTATGTGACAGACAAAAGAGTATGTGACAGACAAGAATAGTCCATTCTAATGTCTAACACTTAATGTGGAGAAAGAGATGTCCTGGATGGGTTGATTGTGCGTTGATCTGTTGGTAATGCCTCGGTGGGCATGTAAACAAATGCTGCGCTATACTTTGCGGCCTCACCCGGTTGCATAGCGACACTTATTGTTTAGGTGTCTTTTAATAAGCAGGTAGTCATATCATTAGCTAGAACTAGCTGGACTTTTAAAATAATGGTTGTTGGTAATGTATTAGCGACCCCCACAGATGTATGATTTCACTGCGTCCGTGGGAGCTCAGACCCCTCCTTATGGGAGCTCAGCTCCCATTGGCTCCCACATAACTCGAACCCTGGTAAAGTGCTATTTTTGTTACAAGTGGGGGGTGGACATAACCTCCTGTATGGAGTAAATATTGAAGTTAAAAGCATCAATCTGGTGCACTTCGAGAGCAACATTAAGAGATCTATGGATACATCTCTCAACACCCAGATGAAACAGAACTGTAAACAGATTTACTTTTTCTTTATGGATATTTTACAAATCACTCCCCTTTTAAACTGTATTCTTGTTTTATTGTTGTTAAACTAATAAAGTATGCACAGTCATTTTTCTTCTCTCATCCATTTATTCAGGGACATGAACCAGCATGGCAGTGCTGCGTGATCAGGGGCGGCACCAGGGGGGAGCTAGGGGGAAGCACCCCCATGATTGCCAAAGCACCCCCTAAGCACCCCCAAGAAATATGTTATTTTTTCTTTTTTTTTAATAAATTATTATTATTATTATTTTTATTAAATTAAATTAGAACAATTATTGATTACATCAATGCAAATGTGAAACAAACACATTTTTGACCAAAAACATAAAGACAACACAGGTGATATGATTAGGCCAATGGCCAGCACCCATTCGATTTTTGACCTACCCATAGGCTAAATTACTTTGTGACACTTGAGTGAC